GTGTAAGACTCTTAAATGGTAAATGGACTTGAGCTTATACAGCGCTTTTCTAGTCTTCCAACTACTCAAAGCGCTTTTACACTGTATGTCACACCTACCCATTCACACACTGATGGTAGTGGTCGCTATGTAGTATCATCCATCAGAAGTAACTAATCCCATTCATACATAACCAGCAGGAGCAATGCGGAGTTAAGTTTCTTGCCCACGGACACATCGGACATCGGACATTCCCCATCTGGGGATCGAACCCTCGACCTTCCGGTTGAGAAGTATGATCAGAGTTTGTCCAACAGGTGACTTCCTCTGCCCAATGAAAAACCTCTTCTCTGAATCAGCATTTAGGCGCACTAGATGACAGCTTTAAATTGATACAACACAACTCATAAACATTGGCTATGACAACACATCATGTCACATTATTTGCCAAAGTACCGATGTCTGTCAATAAAGGGCTGATATGGGTCTGATAAACTGATGCATCGACTGTATCCCTTATAAAATATGAAACATATTCATGCATGCAAAATCAAATTTATGAAAATTACTAAAGATTAAGCATCCACTAAGTATTCAAGTCAATATTTATCATAAATTCTGTCAAATCTTTGTTTTATATATAAATACAACCTAAGCTATAATACCTAACTCACAATACTATCCCTTGAGCCAGGGCACCAACACAGTAAAAAAAAAAAAGAAAGTCTGCAGTAGAGGTTGAAGGATCCTGTCTTGGACATCGAGCACGATCTAAACCGACTCTAAACTTTAAGTGTCAGGAGATAACTATGAGGTTAAGTGTTGGGGGTTACTTACTGTAAGAAGTAAAAAAGGTTGGTTAACTAACTGAACACTTGTAAGCTAACTTGTTAAATTGATCCAGTGCTATGTTAACAATCTTGAAACACTTCTATGATATTCTGTTTGAATGGGCTTTATTGCATGTGTTCATTAATATAATGTTCTCCTACAGTGCTGTTCTCTCTCATATTTATCTGCACTTTAGATTATGTATTCATGATAATCAATCTGTATCTGAACTTGCTGTAGTGGTTCTGTGAACATGTATCACATTTGTAACTGAAAAAATAAACAATAAAGACTTTTCCCTCTGTCACTGCCATGTATCTGTGTCTTGAGAAAGAACCAAAAGAGTAAAACTGCAAATTTCAGGTCTCAATATGAGCAACTGCTGCTACATTAAATAACCAAAATTTCAAAAAGGATTAAAGAAATGCTTTTTAATAGACTGACTATAGTTAAGGTTTCACAACACACACAGAAACTTTCACTATTTGCAAGATTCTTGTTAATGATAATGAAAAGAGGTGAACAAATGGACTCAATCTGTGGCCAGAGAGGTATGAGTTATGCTTCACTATCATTGCTTTAATCATGAAAAAAATGTGAAAATGTTACAATCCGTTTTTGTTTAGACAGTCTGCTCAACCATTTTTTTGTTTTTTCCTTTTTATTTGCTTTAAGCACGCCATGTTTGCATCGCTGTTCAGTGTTTGCAGAAAATAATACAGCTGTGGCACCACAACATTTATCTGTGAGTCTGTACTAGCCTTGTTAGAACCCAGACTACTTCAAGTGGATTTATTTTTCACACATTGCTCTGCAGGAAAATTTGGACATTGAGACATGAGTGGCAAGTTTCCGTTAAAGTGACCAGTTATGAGATAAAGTGACAGAGTTGAAAAAGGTGACAAAAGTAAGCAATAAATATCAAAATAAGCATCTAGAAGTATGTTACGGCCCTGGCCGTATTGTGTTTATTTTCTGTATGGTGTTTGTGTGTGAGAGTGAGACCTCTATGTATGTATGTGTGTGAGGATCTTTGATGCTGCTGCAGGTGGAGTTCTGTGATTGGTTGGAGGAGCAGATCAGCTGGAGGGAGGGCACCTGAATCATTGGTCTGGAGTCTGGTCTCAAACCTCTAATCGGCTGGGATCCCCATGAAGAGCGGCGAATGTTTTAAAACTGACAGCAGCAGCATTTGATTTTCCCTTGGCCTCCAAACTTGTTTCCCTACAGCTTGTTGTTGGAACCTCGTCTTTAGTTAGTTTTGAAATGAATGTTGTTTACTCCTGAGTAATTCAGTTGTTTGAGAAGCAGTAAAACTGCCATTTTCTTTAGTGCTCACTATTTTCTCCTGTTTTTGGTTAAGTTAGGAAGTTAGATTTAGTAATTGTCTTTTGTTTCTATTTGTTTGTTTTAGGTAAGATAGTGGTATAAAAAGAGAATTGAATTTGGTTGTTATTTGGGTTTTTGTTCATCTTGAGCCAGTGTGCTTCAGCTATGAGAGTGAATGTGTGTTGTTTAAAATAAATCATTTTTTAAGTTCCAAATATTAGTCTTGCCTTTGGTTTGGGGACTGAGGAAGAAACACTTCTTTTTTGTGGATTTTATGTTGCACATCTTCCCCCCTAGACGGGTGCTGACAAAGTAATCTCCCATTTAGAAATCAATTGACTGCGAAGTGCACAAAGTCAATGCATTTCATAACATTTTATTTAGAGATTGTTTAAGGGTGCACCTTCAACAATCCTGAGAGTCATTTAGCTTTCTGAATATGTAAAAGTGCATTATTCTCTTCGTTTTCATTAATATAAAGTTTACACATGTCTATCATAATGTCAGTCTGGTGAAAAATTATATCTGTATTTTGCTCTGTGGAGATGTATAGGTCTTGCAATTAAAAAAATAAACTAAACAAAAATCTATTTTTTTCATATGCATGTGTGTGAATGGTGAGAGCTGACCTGGAATTGAGGGAAATATTTTCTGAGCTTATATTTAGGACCTTAAAGGGAACAGTAAGGCTATCATTTCCTCTGGTGGCCTGGAAAGTGAAAGGGAAAAAAAAAGTACTCATGGGTAATCAAGCAGTTGGCCTTCTGACAATTGTGACATTTTCAAGTTCTGTTGTATTTTTTGGCTTCTAGGTACAGTAATGGAGCTCAGCGTGAGTTCAAGCAGGAATACGTTAATCAATGTTTTACTCAAGGCCAAAACAGGGTCAACATCTTCTGAAAAACATGAAGTCAAGTTGACCATTTTTTCATCAGAGGTAATATTACAAACAGTTCTTACATTAATATGAACTAAACTGCTGATGATGTCTTCAGAACAAACAGGAGATATTACAAATCAATAAAACAAACGACATAGCTTTTGAAATAAAAGACATCAGCGTTATTTTTTTGTCTCTCTCTCTATTTCACTTTAACTGTAGTCTACCTTTGTGATTACAGGTAAAAGTGAAAAAAGAAAACTCTATTTTAGTGAAGCCAGTTGTTTGGCATCTTTTCTTGGCTGCATGAAAAGATGTTCAGCTGTGGAATCTCTCAGGATAAAGTTAGAGAGGTGTGAGGTGTTGCTCTCCATCATCACAGAGGTAAGGTGCAGACACAGGTATGTGCTTCTTAACATTCAAAGCATTAGAGCAGCTTGTAGGCAGAGTTGGGGCATTGTTTCAGGGATGAAGAGTGGGAGCTGTGCAGCCACAGTTTCCCTCATTGAACCATACATTAGAGTTCCATCAGCTCGATTTGGATGTTTGAAGAGGCTCTTTCCACGTTAACTGCTAACAGATTAAGGAGCAGTGAAAAAATGAAGTTTCTGAGTTAAACGTTGAAAAATCGCTGTGTCAACTCAGAACCAAATGTTTTACTGCACAGTGTGTGTTTGGGAACACAGCAGTGGAGACCTGGTGGTCTAACAGTCTGTCTCTGAAGCTGCAGGTTTCTTTCAATGACACAGTCCGACGTGTTGCACAAAAACAGCAGAGAGGAGGGGTAGCTGAAGCTTACAAGTACTACCGGCAGTAGCTGTGAATTCTGGGATTTGTATTCTAAGTGGTGTGTGTGCCATATACCGGGGGGGGGGGTATTATATTTATTACGCATCTGTTTTGATTTCATGAACAATACGAGTTATGAAATAAATATGATATCTAGTGGGTTCAGACATGGCCTTCAGTTGACCTATGCTGTAAAGCATATCCTCCGATGTGGTTAAGGTGATCAGTATTTTAAATATTACAGATCCAAATTGATAAATCCCAAGAAACATACATGTTGATGCCCATAAAGAAAGAGGGTTATCGGTTAAATTAGCAGAAAAGTTGCATGAAAAGAGATTGGTGAATTGATGATCACAAAATCTGAACTTTCTGGAGGGACTGAAATGTATCTCTGGTTCCAGTTGCTGTGTCAGTTGTTAACAAAGTAGTTAAAGTTGAATTTTCATAACTTTCAGAAACCTTTTATGTGTAATACTGTAGGACACACACATTTAATTGATCAATATTAACATCCTTGTCTGATTCTGGTAGAAAATGAGTTCAAGAAATCAACATTGAATTTGGTCGGCGTGTCTTTTCTTCCTGTGCAAATTTTGTCATGTGTAAAGGGGTTCCAATCATTTAGTGTTGGTCCTTACTGTATGTGTTTATATCTCTACCTTTCTTACTTGAACCTTGTCTAGGTTTTGAACATTTTATTTTGACTGTATTGAATTTCTAAACCGGTATTGGACTGCTGTCCTCTGATTTCAGCCTTTAATGAAATAGTAAAAACTGGCTGTCAAAAAAATTAACCAATTTGCTTAATGGTTCAGAAGATAGTTTGATGCATTTGCAACAAAAGCTTCCAGAATCAGCGGCGCCTTTCACTTCAAAACCATATCCCAGGGTGTGATTGTGAGGTGAACTAAAAGGGGAAATAAATGAGGGCATGGTTAAGGCCCTTACATAAAGACAATTAAACAGCTGCAATAGAAGAAGTGAGATGGAAAGTTGTTTTTCTTGTTAGAAAAATGGATTTACCCACAAGCCACTAATTGTTAAGGGGGATGGAAGTTCCAGGAATCTACCTCTTTTGTGTTTTTATCATTAGACTAATGAGATTTCTTCCAGTAGAAGACAGTGATAAAAGTACGGACACCACAGAGGACAGGAACATGCTTTTTGACCGGACAGAACTTTTGCAGTCATGATGCTCGCAGGTTTCCTTCTAATAATCCTCCTTCAAGGTAAGATCACAACTTGTATTTATTTGTATGCCTGCAGGGGTACAGGTCTACTGTTTTAGTTACTGTTTTGATCTTTGAAGGCAATCCTACACAGTGTTTTTAATGGACTTTGAAGCTCCTTCAGTGAGTGATTAGTGTTGCCTCAATGTTCCACTGAACGACTCAGGAGGTCCTTTGTTCCTGCAGCAGTTTGATATTTTAATGAACATTTTTAGTTGTGTTTCTGACTCATGGCAGTATATGATTATTTAAAGGATTTCAGAGGTGTTTGTTATTTATTTACTTGTTGTGTACTATTGTTTGTTGTGTGTATGAACTGACCAGGTGGAAAATGAGTTTCCCTGCTGGGGATCAATAAAGTTTTCTAATCTAATCTGTTTGGCTAATTTAGTTACTTCCCGAGTAACTCTTATATTTTCAATTTTAGAGAATTCAAAGTTTTGTTGGTACATCATGAAAAATAAATGAAAATGTTTACTCTTAAACAAATGTTAAGTGTGGTTTATGTGTATTCATTTAGGATAACTTTAACTAGAAAGAAATGCAGCTGTTGAGTTTTGTCATTAACATTGTATAGAGGGAAACATTCAGGGATACATCATTTTACTTAAATCCCATCTTCCTATAGGCTGCTTTTGTGTAATATATATAATTTAACATGTCTAATTCTTTAAAATGAATCTTGATGTGCTGCTTTCTTGACCAGAACTCTGAGGAATAAGAGATTGTGTGTCTCAAGGAACGACCAAGGATTCATAATATAGAAATAGAAATGAAATGATATATACAATTAATTGGTCAGGGTGTGATAGGGTGTCTGTTCGCACACAGTTTAAATCACTAAACTTTAAAGCTCATATGAGGAAGTTTGGGTTAGTGTCAGTTTTGTTGATGCCAAGCGGTATCCAACCTCTTTGCTGATCTTGTCCAGTTCATGTGTGCGTTAGTGTTTTCTGACAAAGAATCTCTAACTGACTTTTAAAAATCAGAAGTATGTATTGGCTTTGGAAAATGTAAAGAAGAGGCTGTATCTGTAGCTGACTGTAAGTCATCTCCTGTGACACCCCATGGTGGTTGATACTAGGGATGCAACAATACAGTCAGCCCCCGGTTCAATACGTACCTCGGTTTTTTGGTCACGGTTCAGTTCAGTTCTGACGGGCCAGGCAGTTAAAATGTTTCCAGTGTTAAGTGTTTTAGGCAAATCTTACAGAACAGCAAGGGATTAAGAAAGAGAGCTAATGTTTTTCATTTTAAAACGATTGACTTTACTTTGAAGCAAAAACAAATTCAGGTGCTCTCCTTTCAGCCTATTGCAAAGGTCAGATTTGATTTGAACATGAACTAAACTGCAATTAGCTCAATAAATGTCAACAAAAAAAGTGCATTGGTGGCATACTGTCATATTTCTCTTTTAGTTACGATTATCGTTCCTCTCTTATTCTTGTAATGTTCAGTAGTGTAAATATTTTGAGTATTAACAGCAGCTCAAACGATTTAAGAACACTTCAAAAGACATCAAACCTCACACTGAAGGTTCAGACGTGTTTCATGACCAGTTTAGAGTTTTTAATAAGAGCAGTGAGGGTGATGCGTAGACAGAGGAGCACTCAGCGCGCATTGGAGCAGTTTGAAAAACACCAGTTAGTTAACAGACAACAGCCTGCCATGAAGTTCACATGCTTCACTGGTTAACATGTAAACCGTAGAGCAGATGATCAATTTCACTTTTTTTTCTTGTTCGTCCACTTAAACGCGCAATGGCACGTTCCCCGACTCTCGCTCACCCGTATAGCTCTCTCTCCCTCTCACATTCGCGGACCCACAGTTATCTTTTAATACATGTTTTTGACATAATGAGGGAGAGAGGCTTTTGAAAAAAGGGCGTTTGCGGCCGTTAATATACCTGGACGAGGCGCACACGCTCGCCCCACACTATCAGAAACTGGTCTATAGTGTAACACTGCTTGAGCAATGACTGCAGCCTGTATGATCTATAAACTGTCACTGTACCGGCCCTGGCGGCCCTTAAGGCAGCCCGGCCCACCGGGAATTGTCCCGTTTCTCCCGATTAGCCACTCCGGACCTGGCTGCTCCTCACTGCTCGCCATGTTAAAAGTAATGTTGTTTTCAGCGTCACCAAACTTTAGCGCGTGGTGATTTGCTATTAACTCACTTGGCGGCCGGGGTTTACTCATCCCTGCGCGCTGACTCACAGGCCCACACAGACGGACCCAATTCAGAGAGAAATACAATGCGTGGAAACTAGTTAAACGGCAAACTGTTAAAACCGCAATTCACAAGTCAGTATTGAACCGTCAATATTTTATTGAGAATTGTTGCATGCCTAGTTGATACAGTCTTTATGCTGATGGTCCTGATGGTTTTGTAGGTCATAAAAAAACATCACTAGTTATTTTAGTTTAAAACTCCTCACAGGTGCTTAAACTATTTTGATGAACAGATTGTGTAATCTAAAATTTATTTTAAAAAAAAATTACATTTCTCTGATTTGAGCTCCTCAAATTTAAATATCCTGAGTCATCTAAGACAGAACTGAACTTCTTTACATTTTAGGCCAAATAATACATTTGAGCTTTTTGAAACAGAGATCAACATGTTTCAGCATGATGTGACCAAAATTCAGAAGTAAAATAAAAACATGTTGCAGACAGTGCAGTCTCATATTCAACTTTCCCATCTCTACGTGATGTGATCAGGAAACATAAAGAACATTGAAATTAAAATCCTGTCTCCATTTCTTCCAGGTGGATTTACCTCTGATCACACAGAGCAGCCAGAACTTGATCAACAAAAAGCCAATCAGAGCTATGAGAAAGGTATGTACGATTTAAAAAAAAACACCCAGAGCTTTGTGATACTATTGAGGTGAGCAAGGACCTGCAGCGTTAAATCTATATTACTAGCATGGCCATCCTCAATTTATTTGAACATTACATTGAAGCTCACAAAGTTTAATTATTGATTGAAGGACTAATAACTGAATGTTTGGAATAATATTGAATATCAAGATTAAACCTATGTACTCTTTTATTTTGTTAGGTGGAAGAACCTTCAATAACACAGAGACAACAAACTTTACACAGAACACCAATCAGAGCTCTGTTGAAGGTAAGTACAGTCCAACAGTGCACAGCAATGATATTTCTGAACATTTGTCAGCATAGCATAAATTATAAACCCGCTAGAACTAAGTGGAAATTAATTTAAGGTTTTTCTCAAATCAAAATGTAATGGCTCTAACATTGTTATATATGCACATTCTTGATTTTGTCCTTATAGATGGGGCCTCTGCATGTAACAAAACCTATCGGGACTTAGTAGACCACCTGAAGTTGACCTCAAAAAAAGATCTGAACAGCATGACTCGGCCCACTAAGAACATCTCAAAACCCACAAAAATAAGGCTGGATATAGCCCTCTATGCCATTCTAGATGTGGTAAGTAGATGATAATTTAGAGTTACATTTGCTTTACTGGATCCTTAAATACCATTGTCCTTCAAAACAGTTAGCCCACCACAGGGCCATTTAGGATGCACTACAAAATTGCCTGGCTTTTTTCTACATCAGCACTATATGGCTTTCCTGATGTGTTAGGAGGTTAAAGTCAGCAGGTGATTCATATGCCAGCCAGTTTGAGTTTGAGTTTACCAAAGGATGCTGCATGTTTTCATTTGTCTATTCTTTAGTTAAATATCTCAGAGAAATAATGTTAATCTAGGCCTCAAGCAAACATAACATGCGGCCTATTTGAAAAGCTCTGAATGATATCGCTAAGTGTTCTTATATTTTGTTTTAGATTGTGCTGATCCATCTTCTCTAAAAAAAATTTTTATTTTTTTATTTTTTTATTTTTTATCTTTCAGTAATTGGTTGCCAAATTCTTAATGTCTAAATGACAGAAACGTTCTTTTGAACTATTGAAAAAAATATTTACTCTCTCCTGCTACACACTGCAGACTTGAAAAAACATGTATGTAACGTGTACTTATCTGTATCTAACCCTTATGAGCTTCTTCAAATGAACTCTTGTTCAACTTTTCTAACTTGTAGTGACTTAGACACACAACTTAGAAAGATTTTCAAACATATCTATTCTTTTACAGAGAGAAAAGGAACAGACATTTATGTCTTATGTTTGGGTTGATATGGTGAGTTCTCTATAAGGAAGAAATGTTTGATTAAATGTATATCCACTTTTAATCTATAATGGGAATGCAATTTCGATTGTTTCAATATTTTTCCTTTTTTTTCCCCTCTGAAGAATTGGACAGATGATTTCATCCATTGGAATCCATTCGACTTCTGTCATACAGAAGACATTACTCTTCCGACTAAAGTTGTGTGGCTGCCAGATCTAACTATTGAAGAGATGTAAGTCAATGAATATATATATTAGGCCTGGATGAAATAACAAAAAATGTTTTCAAGATAAAAAAAAATTCCTATCAGTCGACATCGGTAATTATTATCATAAATGTTAAATCATTATTTCTTTCAAATTTACAGGCTGATTTTTGCTCCTGAGTGAATTTGAAGAAACCAGATGGTTAATTGTGGTTTAATTATTATTTGTCAAAACATAACAAACTATAATTATACAGGGACATTTTACCATCATAAAAACAACAAACTTGATCCATCAATCATTACCAACTATAGACCCATCGCCAACCTTCCTGTTATCAGTAACATTTTAGAAAAGGTTCTCCGCAAACAATTACACAATCACCTAACCCTTCACAGTCTGTATGATGTTTACCAATCAGGTTACAGAGTAAACCACAGCACTGAAACTGCTCTTGTTCAAGTAATCAATGACTTAAAAATCAGCCGTGATTCAAATAAACTCTCACTTCTTTCTCCGATACAGTTGACCATAAAATTCTGTTAAACAGACTGGAAAATGACTTTGGCCTTTCAGGAACTGTTCTTCAATGGTTCTCCTCCTACTTAGAAAACAGAACATTCTCAGTCTCACTTGGCAACTTTAGATCTGATCATTTTAGCATTCACTATGGGGTGCCACAAGGTCCAGTTCTCGGTCCACTACTATTTAGTCTTTACATGCTCCCTCTTGGTTCCTTCATACAGAAACACAATATCTCCTATCACTCCTATGCCGATGATACACAGCTTTATGTTTCACTTTCCCCAGTTAACCATAGTTCATAAATGAAATGGCCAAATACATTGGAGAAATTAGTAGGGCTGGACCCGAATATTTGGCTATTCGAATATTGGTTCATCGGGTAGGCAATCGATTATTAATTTTGGAATTAGAATATTCATTTTTTTTGTTTGTTTTTTTGGGTATCTGATATTCCTGTCCTCACAGCTGTCAGTGAACGTCACACTTCAGTTCACCTTGGCCGTTAAAGGGAAGACAAAATGCCGAAGACTTCAGCTGTGTGGAAACACTTTACATTGAGTGACGACAAGACTTACACTGTGTCCTAACAGCACTTGCGGGTTATATGTTGCGTTCTGTCGCACAGCAACGGACGCTCACTGTCCACACTGCATGCGTTAAATATTGAATTCTATGATCTGTAAATGTCAGTATCCTCCCTTTGTATTAACGAGCAGCTGACTCAGATCACAACACAGAGGCTCGTCGGTAAACGGCTCGCTGAGCCAAAAAAATATAATTTTCTGGTGTTGACACAAGTCAAAGCTCAACATTTCAATCACAGATGTGGATATTATCAATTCACCGTTATCGCCCCCTTTTTAGATGAGCTACTAAGCTCTGTTGAGTGGGAAAAGTGAGTGTCAGTGCCCTGTAGCCCCCTCCTTCCTTGTTCCCTGTCAGTTGACACGAGCAACAGAGGAAGATAGAAACGGGGTACCGGAGTAAAAACAGCTGATTTTGTCGCTGACGCTTGTGCTGTTAGGACAAGCTGAAAGGCAGTGTGTGTTATAGAAACTTATTGAGCCGCACTGATGAATTGCGTTTTTTGGGAGGGCTTGCCGTGCTCCCTTTATGAACCCCTCCTTTTTCACTCCTAGCTCTCTCCATTAAAGCAAGCAAAACACAATAGTTGATCCTGTTGCATGCAGGATCTGTCAAAAACCCTGTTCCCCCACAGAATGATGCTGTCCAAACAGCTCCAACATGCAATTAGTGCGCATTGATGTCTGCACGCCCGCTCGTCACCCTCACTCTGTTAATTATAAACTATAACCCCGTCTTAGGACACGTCTGTGTGAATTTTCAGTGTGGGGTTTGAGGCTGTTGAAGTAAGAACTAATAATTGGATGTTAATACTATGTATTATGAGCACTGGGGACTCAAGACTCTACTCGGACTGAGTTACTTTAGAAACTCAACTACAACATTGGCATAGAATGTAATACATAATGTAAAATGAAGTTGAGAACCTGAATGGTTGTGTGTTCTCATTTCAGGACAGAGAAGGATAAGGCCACTCAGAGTCCATATCTCAGCATTGCTTATAATGGGAAATTCCTTCTTAGGAATGACATGGTGCTTGTAACCACCTGCAAGATGGATGTCTACAAATTCCCCTTCGACATTCAAAGCTGCAACCTCTCCTTCAAGTCTATCATACACAACGGTAACAAAGTACAAAGTTTTAATTATAATGATGCTTGTGTTTGTAAAAGTTTATTTTGACTGAGCTGAGGTGTATGTGTAGAAAGCGAAAGGACAAATGTTTGGGGTTGAGGCAAAAAAAAAAGGCATGTGAAAGTAAATATAGAGAAACACATGAAACACAACCAGCTGTTGAGTTTGACTGTATGATCTCTAGGGATGCAACAATTCTCAATATAATATTGAACCGAACGGAACGGCATCCACAGTTCAATACGTGCTTGTGAATGGTGAGGTTTCAGTTTTGCGTACAACGATCTTGAGTGTAATGACAAGGAAGAGAAAAAGGTTAACAAAAAAAAGGGATGTCTGTACATGTGTCGCCTACTCAAATGAAAACCATTACAGCAGTGTTTTCCACACAGACAATAGTTGGGCGAGCCGCCTAAGTATATTTCTGGCCGCCCAAGTATATTTGTAGTCTGTTTTAACTTGTTTTTTTATTATTCATAAAATTGATGCATGCACGAGAGAGCGATAGAGAGAGCGGGGGGGAGAAAGAGAGAGAGTGTGCTAGAGAGTGCAGGCGCGCGTTTTATGTAGCTGCAACAACTTTTCCCTGCTCCTCTCTCTGCTGTCATGACTGTGAGTATTGCCGTGCACGCTGAGACACACCAACATATAGCCTACATTGCTGCACAAATGCGCACACACACTCACACTAGAGCAGTGGTTCTCAAACTATGGTACGGCTCCCTGTGGTGGTACGCACAGGAATCTCCACAAGATAAAAAAAAAAAACGTTAAGCATAAAACGCCTTTTTTTTTTATTGTCGTACTCTTATCTGGCTTGTATCTGTTGGGTTGTATTTATATCACGTGTTTTCCCCTCTAAATTAATCTAGTTTTTGCAACAAACAACTTTAATCTTCTCCATTTATGCTCGCGCACAGACATAAACACCAGGAGTACACCTCGCGTTTTGAAAAGTTCCACTCGATAGTCCATTATTTATAGGAGTTAAGTACTGAATCAACAGAAAGCAGCTGTAGGCCTACATTAACAGATATTCTGTTATTTATTGGAGTTCAGCACAGAATCGGTGGCAAGCAGCTGTACATTAACATTTTTAAAATGGAGTCAGGAGATGCTTCCGTTGTGATGTGATTTACAAGAGTGTACGGACAGTCGCTTACCCTCTGTCTTGCTCTGAAGCTGACGTGATTCTGCACTATTTTGCTGTGTCTTAAAGAGCCCATATTATGCCCTTTTTGGGGTTCATATATTTAATCTATGTACCTACTAAAGTATGTTCACAATAGCTAAAAAAGTGTCTGTTTTCATGTACTGCTGCTCCATGCACCGGCTCGCTTCTGACTCTCTCTCTAAGGCTCTGAAGTGCCCACGTTCAGAGTCCCCACGTGTGCCAACTCTGATCTGATTGGTTGGCCTGTCGGCTCTGCCGTAATTGGTCAGTTGCCCAGCACGGTTCTCGGCAATGTCCCGCCCCTTTTACCATATTGGGAATGCAGCCACTGGCTCCGTCCGAGGGGAGCATAAACATTCGCACCTTAGCACTACTGTGCTACGGCATATCAGGGACGTGCTACAGAAGTTAACGGGCGTGCAACATGAGCTGCTGGGCTTGCCACAACGATCAGTGATCTCACACTGACAATGACGTCGGACTGACAAATTTTTATCGAGGGGGGCTAGAACCGAGCGTTACATGCGGCTAATGCTACAGCTAACAGGAGGACATAGGAGAAGCTGCGTTTCCGCGGACTTTGAATTTCTGCAAATAGATGTGACTAAACATGCACAGGATACATGGAAAACAGACTGCAGAGCATATAAAACCAGAAAAAGCAGAATATGGGACCTTTAACTATGTGCAGGAGTCAAGAAGGATTTTTTTAAAGGGAGTTTTGCTATGTTGAACGCAGAGCCTTATAAGACAGAGGCTGTGGTTGCACCATGCGCACCCAGTAGCGGAGCGAGTGTGGGAGCAGAAGGTGCGGCCGCCCCGGGCCCACTGTTGTCTTAAGGGGTCCACTTTGAGCCAAATTTAACATGCAGTTTGTTATTTAGTGGAATTTTCGAATAAAGTTAGTTTGACTAGGTCTGAGTCTCTTTTTTATTTTGCCGCAATCAAGACACACAATGTATTTTGTAGAGCAGAGAGGGGCCCCCCTCCACTGCCAAGGGGGTTCTCAACCTCGGCAGCAAACAGCACCAGCAGGGTGCTGTGGCCTGTTTGTAATGTCATTGATTCCACCTCTTAGCACCCCCTTTGCTGGGCCCCCGCTGCTGTCTGGAGTTTTAAAAACCTAGTCGTCTGTCTGCTTTATTTCTGTTTACCTTGCTGTTTTTCGTAACATTAAAAGTGTATAAAAACTAAATAAAAAATGTTTTCTCATTGACAACTCAACCCTCAACAACTCAACCTGGCAAATCTCCTCCCGCTGCTAGCTCCACTAATGTAAACGAAACTAGCCAAGCAAATAAACATGTTAGCGAGGAGCACCCAGCTAGCTCCGTGCAGGAAAGCAACAGTGCTGATGAAAACTTAATTGGTAAGTTGTTTCATCATGATTTGTGATGACACTTAGATGCTGGTCTTTTGTTTGTGGGTGCATGTGTTGTAGACCGCCGTGTCTGCTTGGTTATCGTACTGTATGACCGGCAGGCCATTGCTGTCACACTGTTTACAAAGTTTGTTGTCGTGCGTGGGTTGATAATGTGTGGTTTTATTGTATTGTCTGTTTGGCTGGATGAGCGTCCAACTTCACTGAATGTCAAACTGTAGTTGCCTTCGATCTTTGGTTTCCCGTCCGGCTAGTAAAGTCTGCTTTACTTGTTTAATCGGTGGAATATGCGCACAGACATATCAGCACTTGTTCTGCTTAAATATCAGCAGGTCACTCACTGATAAGTCCCTGTCACTGTAATAGCACCCTTTGTAATCTGCAGCGGCATTTCTCTTCGTCTCGCCCTGTCTTGTATCTCCATACAGCCGATACTATACCATAAATGCTATACTATATTACTATATAGGCTACAGCATATGCTATATAGCCTAGAGACAGTTTATGGGCCCACTATTGGTCCCCGCCCCCTCTGCAATGAGCCATAGGCTCCGCGCCTGTGCGCACCTTTTTACTTTTAGTGCAACAGCACAGTCGAGTCGGAAACACGTGATCCAGCCAAACAGTGATTCAACTTTACTCCGTTCTTTCTCATCGTGTTTGCAGCAAATATAACAATAGCAACATCACCTCTAGCCAGCTGTAGTCTGTGAACATCTCCTCTCAGATTAAACCCCTTGCTGTTCCGGTAAAAAATGCTCAAAACTCCAAAGAACGGAATACTAAAAATAAACTCCTCCCACAAGCCTGGGCCTTTAGAAACCAGACAGAAAATTGAGGTATACTGAACTTGGCTGACTGAATTGTTGCATCCCTAATGCTTTCATAACTCTTGTCAGCCCTAACATAAAATATAGTTAATACGTTGATCAAGCAAACCTTGCAACAGTTATTTTCTTCTCCCCCAACTCAGTCATGCAAATTCAGCTTTTGGAGTGGGTTGACTCTACTCATACAACAGAATGGTCCAAAGAAATTATAAAAACACAGTCGGACTGGGAGTTCATCGACATTACTGTAACCAACAAAAATGCCGACAATTTTGGCGTCAATCAAAGCATGATGGTTTACACTGTGAGTATTTCATTTACAGATAACAAGACTAGCAGGTAAACATTTTTCATTTTCAGCTCTATATGTCTCAAGTTATTTACTGAAGTATTTCTATTTTGAGTCTTTATAATTTCTCTGATAACATCTTACAGCAAATCTAAATCTTTGCAGAAATATTAGCATTACTTTCATGTAAACTGTGAGTGTGTACATGTAGTTCTAGCTCATTTTACTGAAAGAATTCAGCTCATATCCATAAGTTTGGAACCTGAATCTAAATTCAATTTCACAGGTCACAATGAAGAGGCGTTCTGTCCTTTACATTGTCAACTTCATCCTGCCTGTCCTGTTGTTCTTGTGTCTGGATTTGGCCTCCTTCATGATCTCAGAGAATGGGGGGGAGAAGCTCAGCTTCAAGGTCACTGTGCTGCTTGCTGTCACAGTGATGCAGCTCATTCTGAACGAAATTCTGCCGTCCTCTTCAAACAGGATTCCACTTATAGGTGAAGAAAATAAAGTATGTTCCTTTTTAAAAGTACTCTTAATGATCAGTGCATTTATTTTCCTTCCTTATCTCTTCAGCAATGTACTGCATTACAATATTTGGTTTGATGATGCTGAGTCTCCTGGAGACCATTTTTGTGATGTACCTCATGGAGAAAGACTCTGCACCCCAGAATGATTGGACAGATAAAGAACAAAGCCTGAGTGAGGACTGTAAGGACAAACGAGGGAAAAATAAATTCCATACATTTTTCAAAGGTGAGATTTGCTGAGACAAATGGGAGAAAAAAAACTAAACATCTGGATTTTACTAATTTACAGATGTTAAGCTTTTTTTGTAATTCAACAGGTAAATGTCTAATGAGTGATGTGTTATTTATAGTATAAACTCAGTTTGACTCTTTTTAGACTTCAAGAAACGGACAAACTTGACGTCTGCCTGTGCTGGATCTTCTGGGGAAAGGCCTTCTGAAATGCTTCCAGTATCTAAAGAGGTCAGAATTACATTTCACTTGTTTTAATTCAACATTGAAAAGTCTTTCTATAAATTATTAACTAAAAAGACTGTAGGGCTGGTTAAAAAAAAATTGATTCATCAATGCATTGCAATTATTATTTTTCACAATTCAATATCGATTCAGAGAAATCCTGAGATCGATTTTTATTTTCGTTGAAATGACACCCCTCTCCACTGGAGGCTGTGAATTTACATTGTAATGAAACCCCTCTTCACTGGGGGCACTGTGGGTGCTGTGAATTCAGGTCAGGCACAATTTTGCACTTCAGCTCATACTGTCCTTTCATGTTTTAATCTTTGTTTATAAAAGAATAATTCAACAATAAAATACATTTTCGAGTCAGTTTGTTTTAAACAAATACAACACATTAATATTTAACAAATATAAGAAGGCACTGTGAGTAGTTCTCTGGGTATTTCTCTCATCTATGTGTAATATTGAATCGATATCAAACTGTGAGGTAACTTGTGGACAATACCCAGCTCTACTATTAAGGAGAGTGATGTTTGAAATGTTGATATAGAATTTTCAGTAAATCAATAGATTTTGTTTTTACATCACAAACACAATTTAATTTACCATTTTACAACCGTTGCTTTGTCTCAGTTTTTTTTCATAAATCAAGATGTGCATTTAAAAGTAAATGGAAAACCTAATTTTGTCAAAAAAGCTTGATATTAACATTTTATTTAATAGGGCTGCAGTGTTTCCCACACAAAGACTATACCTGGGCGGGCCGCTCACGTATATTTATAGGCCCCCAAGTATATTACCGACCTGTTTTATTGATTTATTATTTATTCATAAAGTTGCCGCGGACGCGAGAGATCGAGGGGCAGAGAGAGAGAGCGCCAATCAAATCAACAGAAAGCCAAAACATCAATATACATAGTAATCATTATGATATGTACCATGGGGAAAGGTTGTGCATGTTGGCTGTCCAGAGGGAGAGAGAGATAAAGCTGAAAAAGGCTGGCTTTTATGCCCTTTCAGCCAGATGAAGCCAGTCAGCAGTCACAGGTAGGTGGGCAGGGTCTCAAAGAAACCAGCAAGCAAGCCTGAACAGAGCACCAGAGGAAGCCAAAGCTTTGAAACAGAAACAGAACACAATACCAGCTGAACACACAGCTGGTAGTATAGTCACAGAATCTAAACACTGTTCATGTGTGTTTTCAGACTAGCAGCAGCCAGTTGACTGAGGAGTCCAATGCCTCTGAAACGGAGATGTTGCAAGAGTTGTCTCCGCCCCTAAGCAGCAGGAAGGAAGAAGGAAAGGCAGGCCGCTGGACAAGAAGGGCCAAAACAGTCAACAAAGTTTTTTTTATTTTTTACATCATTACTGCCAGTCTGTTTTTAGCATTTATGTTTCACAGTTGGAATGAACAAGCAGAGGAGGTCAATCCAACAAAGACACCTTCTTCTGATGAGTTTGAGTTTGAATCACCATGAAGGCTTCCTACAATTATAAAAACAAGATAATCAAGATAAAAAGATTCCTGTGCAGCATGCACGTTTTGTCCATAGGTTTTGTCCTGTGTGGTAAATGGAGCGCATTCTCAGTTACTTCACAGCAATGTGTGCTCTGCCCCTCTCCCCAAAAACAGATCTCACTTTTATTAAGGGGCACACTCACACTAGGCCCAGTTGTCCCGTACCGTGCTTAAGCATGATTGCCCCCCCCCCCCCTCCTCCCATTCATCTGCTGGCCTGCACTCACACTGCTCCAGGACTAACCGAGCCTGAGCACAGGTACCTCTTGTAGCCTACATAACGTTTTAATACAATACATGCATGGCTTTACGTAATTATGAAGCATGCTTAGTTTACAAGACAAGCAGACTCCAAAATAAAAAAATAAAAAAGGGACACAAAGTCAAAGGTCAAGCTGAAGAGCACAGTCCTGTTGTACGTGGATTCGAGCAAAACACATATTTAAAAACAATCAAGTATGCATGTTAGTAATAATGCATGTTCTTGAATATAGGTGAATATATCTTGGAATATGGGAATCATTAATACCCCACCCAACATAAAATATAGGGATGCATCGATTCTAAAAACCATGATGTTTAAAATAACAGTTTAACCGAATGCTGATACCGATGTTTTTTTCAGTGCGTCTTTTGGTGTAAGACTCTTAAATAGTAAATGGACTTGAGCTTATATAATGCTTTTCTAGTCTTCCAACTACTCAAAGCGCTTTTACACTGTATGTCACACCTACCCATTTACACACTGATGGTAGTGGTCGCTATGTAGTATCATCCATCAGAAGTAACTAATCCCATTCATACATAACCAGCGGAAGCAATGCGGGGTTAAGTTTCTTGCCCAAGGACACATTGTCCCAAGGACGGACATTGCCCAGCTGGGGATCGAACCCTCGACCTTCCGGTTGAGAAGTATGATCAGAGTTTGTCCAACAGGTGACTTCCTCTGCCCAATGAAAAACCTCTTCTCTGAATCAGCATTTAGGTGCACTAGATGACAGCTTTAAATTGATACAACACAACTCATAAACATTGGCTATAGACAACACATCATGTCACATTATTTGCCAAAGTACCGATGTCTGTCAATAAAGGGCTGATATGGGTCTGATAAACTGATGCATCGACTGTATCCCTTATAAAATATGAAACATATTCATGCATGCAAAATCAAATTTATGAAAATTACTAAAGATTAAGCATCCACTAAGTATTCAAGTCAATATTTATCATAAATTCTGTCAAATCTTTGTTTTATATATAAATATAACCTAAGCTATAATACCTAACTCACAATACTATCCCTTGAGCCAGGGCACCAACACAGTTAAAAAAAAAAAGAAAGTCTGCAGTAGAGGTTGAAGGATCCTGTCTTGGACATCGAGCACGATCTAAACCGACTCTAAACTTTAAGTGTCGGGAGATAACTATGAGGTTAAGTGTTGGGGGTTACTTACTGTAAGAAGTAAAAAAGGTTGGTTAACTAACTGAACACTTGTAAGCTAACTTGTTAAATTGATCCAGTGCTATGTTAACAATCTTGAAACACTTCTATGATATTCTGTTTGAATGGGCTTTATTGCATGTGTTCATTAATATAATGTTCTCCTACAGTGCTGTTCTCGCTCATATTTATCTGCACTTTAGATTATGTATTCATGATAATCAATCTGTATCTGAACTTGCTGTAGTGGTTCTGTGAACATGTATCACATTTGTAACTGAAAAAATAAACAATAAAGACTTTTCCCTCCGTCATTGCCATGTATCTGTGTCTTGAGAAAGAACCAAAAGAGTAAAACTGCAAATTTCAGGTCTCAATATGAGCAACTGCTGCTACATTAAATAACCAAAATTTCAAAAAGGATTAAAGAAATGCTTTTTAATAGACTGACTATAGTTAAGGTTTCACAACACACACAGAAACTTTCACTATTTGCAAGATTCTTGTTAATGATAATGAAAAGAGGTGAACAAATGGACTCAATCTGTGGCCAGAGAGGTATGAGTTATGCTTCACTATCATTGCTTTAATCATGAAAAAAATGTGAAAATGTTACAATCCGTTTTTGTTTAGACAGTCTGCTCAACCATTTTTTTGTTTTTTCCTTTTTATTTGCTTTAAGCACGCCATGTTTGCATCGCTGTTCAGTGTTTGCAGAAAATAATACAGCCGTGGCACCACAACATTTATCTGTGAGTCTGTACTAGCCTTGTTAGAACCCAGAGCACTTCAAGTGGATTTATTTTTCACACATTGCTCTGCAGGAAAATTTGGACATTGAGACATGAGTGGCAAGTTTCCGTTAAAGTGACCAGTTATGAGATGAAGTGACAGAGTTGAAAAAGGTGACAAAAGTAAGCAATAAATATCAAAATAAGCATCTAGAAGTATGTTACGGCCCTGGCTGTATTGTGTTTATTTTCTGTATGGTGTTTGTGTGTGAGAGTGAGACCTCTATGGATGTATGTGTGTGAGGATCTTTGATGCTGCTGCAGGTGGAGTTCTGTGATTGGTTGGAGGAGCAGATCAGCTGGAGGGAGGGCACCTGAATCATTGGTCTGGAGTCTGGTCTCAAACCTCTAATCGGCTGGGATCCCCATCAAGAGCGGCGAATGTTTTCAAACTGACAGCAGCAGCATTTGATTTTCCCTTGGCCTCCAAACTTGTTTCCCTACAGCTTGTTGTTGGAACCTCGTCTTTAGTTAGTTTTGAAATGAATGTTGTTTACTCCTGAGTAATTCAGTTGTTTGAGAAGCAGTAAAACTGCCATTTTCTTTAGTGCTCACTATTTTCTCCTGTTTTTGGTTAAGTTAGGAAGTTAGATTTAGTAATTGTCTTTTGTTTCTATTTGTTTGTTTTAGGTAAGATAGTGGTATAAAAAGAGAATTGAATTTGGTTGTTATTTGGGTTTTTGTTCATCTTGAGCCAGTGTGCTTCAGCTATGAGAGTGAATGTGTGTTGTTTAAAATAAATCATTTTTTAAGTTCCAAATATTAGTCTTGCCTTTGGTTTGGGGACTGAGGAAGAAACACTTCTTTTTTGTGGATTTTATGTTGCACATCTTCCCCCCTAGACGGGTGCTGACAAAGTAATCTCCCATTTAGAAATCAATTGACTGCGAAGTGCACAAAGTCAAAGCATTTCATAACATTTTATTTAGAGATTGTTTAAGGGTGCACCTTCAACAATCCTGAGAGTCATTTAGCTTTCTGAATATGTAAAAGTGCATTATTCTCTTCGTTTTCATTAATATAAAGTTTACACATGTCTATCATAATGTCAGTCTGGTGAAAAATTATATCTGTATTTTGCTCTGTGGAGATGTATAGGTCTTGCAATTAAAAAAATAAATTAAACAAAAATCTATTTTTTTCATATGCATGTGTGTGAATGGTGAGAGCTGACCTGGAATTGAGGGAAATATTTTCTGAGTTTATATTTAGGACCTTAAAGGGAACAGTAAGGCTATCATTTCCTCTGGTGGCCTGGAAAGTGAAAAGAAAAAAAAAGTACTCATGGGTTATCAAGCAGTTGGCCTTCTGACAATTGTGACATTTTCAAGTTCTGTTGTATTTTTTGGCTTCTAGGTACAGTAATGGAGCTCAGCGTGAGTTCAAGCAGGAATACGTTAATCAATGTTTTACTCAAGGCCAAAACAGGGTCAACATTTTCTGAAAAACATGAAGTCAAGTTGACCATTTTTTTCATCAGAGGTAATATTACAAACAGTTCTTACATTAATATGAACTAAACTGCTGATGATGTCTTCAGAACAAACAGGAGATATTACAAATCAATAAAACAAACGACATAGCTTTTGAAATAAAAGACATCAGCGTTATTTTTTTGTCTCTCTCTCTATTTCACTTTAACTGTAACCTTTGTGATTACAGGTAAAAGTGAAAAAAGAAAACTCTATTTTAGTGAAGCCAGTTGTTTGGCATCTTTTCTTGGCTGCATGAAAAGATGTTCAGCTGTGGAATCTCTCAGGATAAAGTTAGAGAGGTGTGAGGTGTTGCTCTCCATCATCACAGAGGTAAGGTGCCGACACAGGTATGTGCTTCTTAACATTCAAAGCATTAGAGCAGCTTGTAGGCAGAGTTGGGGCATTGTTTCAGGGATGAAGAGTGGGAGCTGTGCAGCCACAGTTTCCCTCATTGAACCATACATTAGAGTTCCATCAGCTCCATTTGGATGTTTGAAGAGGCTCTTTCCACGTTAACTGCTAACAGATTAAGGAGCAGTGAAAAAATGAAGTTTCTGAGTTAAACGTTGAAAAATCGCTGTGTCAACTCAGAACCAAATGTTTTACTGCACAGTGTGTGTTTGGGAACACAGCAGTGGAAACCTGGTGGTCTAACAGTCTGTCTCTGAAGCTGCAGGTTTCTTTCAATGACACAGTCCGACGTGTTGCACAAAAACAGCAGAGAGGAGGGGTAGCTGAAGCTTACAAGTCTTGATTGGCGCACCGGCACTAGCTGTGAATTCTGGGATTTGTATTCTAAGTGGTGTGTGTGCCATATACCGGGGGGGGGGGTATTATATTTATTACGCATCTGTTTTGATTTCATGAACAATACGAGTTATGAAATAAATATGATATCTAGTGGGTTCAGACATGGCCTTCAGTTGACCTATGCTGTAAAGCATATCCTCCGATGTGGTTAAGGTGATCATTATTTTAAATATTACAGATCCAAATTGATAAATCCCAAGAAACATACATGTTGATGCCCATAAAGAAAGAGGGTTATCGGTTAAATTAGCAGAAAAGTTGCATGAAAAGAGATTGGTGAATTGATGATCACAAAATCTCAACTTTCTGGAGGGACTGAAATGTATCTCTGGTTCCAGTTGCTGTGTCAGTTGTTAACAAAGTAGTTAAAGTTGAATTTTCATAACTTTCAGAAACCTTTTATGTGTAATACTGTAGGACACACACATTTAATTGATCAATATTAACATCCTTGTCTGATTCTGGTCGAAAATAAGCTCAAGAAATCAACATTGAATTTGGTCTGCGTGTTTTTTCTTCCTGTGCAAATTCATCTTTGTCATGTGTAAAGGGGTTCCAATCATTTAGTGTTGGTCCTTACTGTATGTGTTTATATCTCTACCTTTCTTACTTGAACCTTGTCTAGGTTTTGAACATTTTATTTTGACTGTATTGAATTTCTAAACCTGTATTGGACTGTTGTCCTCTGATTTCAGCCTTTAATGAAATAGTAAAAACTGGCTGTCAGAAAAACAAAACAAATTTGCTTAATGCTTCAGAAGATAGTTTGATGCCTTTGCAATAAAAGCTTCCAGAATCAGCGGCGCCTTTCACTTCAAAACCATATCCCAGGGTGTGATTGTGAGGTGAACTAAAAGGGGAAATAAATGAGGGCATGGTTAAGGCCCTTACATAAAGACAATTAAACAGCTGCAATAGAAGAAGTGAGATGGAAAGTTGTTTTTCTTGATAGAAAAATGGATTTACCCACAAGCCACTAATTGTTAAGGGGGATGGAAGTTCCTGGAATCTACCTCTTTTGTGTTTTTATCATTAGACTAATGAGATTTCTTCCAGTAGAAGACAGTGATAAAAGTACGGACACCACAGAGGACAGGAACATGCTTTTTGACCGGACAGAACTTTTGCAGTCATGATGCTCGCAGGTTTCCTTCTGATAATCCTCCTTCAAGGTAAGATCACAACTTGTATTTATTTGTATGCCTGCAGGGGTACAGGTCTACTGTTTTGGTTACTGTTTTGATCTTTGAAGGCAATCCTACACAGTGTTTTTAATGGACTTTGAAGCTCCTTCAGTGAGTGATTAGTGTTGCCTCAATGTTCCACTGAACGACTCAGGAGGTCCTTTGTTCCTGCAGCAGTTTGATATTTTAATGAACATTTATAGTTGTGTTTCTGACTCATGGCAGTACATGATTATTCAAAGGATTTCAGAGGTGTTTGTTATTTATTTACTTGTTGTGTACTGTGATTGTACTGTCAATATTGTTTGTTGTGTGTATGAACTGACCAGGTGGCAAATGAGTTTCCCTGCTGGGGATCAATAAAGTTTTCTAATCTAATCTGTTTGGCTAATTTGGTTACTTCCTGATTAACTCTTCTGTTATTCAATTTTAGAGAATTCAAAGTTTTGTTGGTACATCATGAAAAATGAAAGAAAATGTTTACTCTTAAACAAATGTTAAGTGTGGTTTATGTGTATTCATTTAGGATAACTTTAACTAGAAAGAAATGCAGCTGTTGAGTTTTGTCATTACCATTGTATAGAGGGAAACATTCAGGGATAGATCATTTTACTTAAATCCCATCTTCCTATAGGCTGCTTTTGTGTAATGTATATAATTTAACATGTCCAATTCTCTAAAATGAATCTTGATGTGCTGCTTTCTTGACCAGAACTCTGAGGAATAAGAGATTGTGTGTCTCAAGGGACGACCAAGGATTCATAATATAGAACTAGAAATGAAATGATATATACAATTAATTGGTCAGGGTGTGATAGGGTGTCTGTTCGCACACAGTTTAAATCACTAAACTTTAAAGCTCATATGAGGAAGTTTGGGTTCGTGTCAGTTTTGTTGATGCCAAGCGGTATCCAATCTCTTTGCTGATCTTGTCCAGTTCATGTGTGCGTTAGTGTTTTCTGACAAAGAATCTCTAACTGACTTTTAAAAATCAGAAGTATGTATTGGCTTTGGAAAATGTAAAGAAGAGGCTGTATCTGTAGCTGACTGTAAGTCATCTCCTGTGACACCCCATGGTGGTTGATACTAGGGATGCAACAATACAGTCAGCCCCCGGTTCAATACGTACCTCGGTTTTTTGGTCACGGTTCAGTTCAGTTCTGACGGGCCAGGCAGTTAAAATGTTTCCAGTGTTAAGTGTTTTAGGCAAATCTTACAGAACAGCAAGGGATTAAGAAAGAGAGCTAATGTTTTTCATTTTAAAACGATTGACTTTACTTTGAAGCAAAAACAAATTCAGGTGCTCTCCTTTCAGCATATTGCAAAGGTCAGATTTGATTTGAACATGAACTAAACTGCAATTAGCTCAATAAATGTTAACAAAAAAAGTGCATTGGTGGCATACTGTCATATTTCTCTTTTAGTTACAATTATCGCTCCTCTCTTATTCTTGTAATGTTCAGTATTGTAAATATTTTGAGTATTAACAGCAGCTCAAACGATTTAAGAACACTTCAAAAGACATCAAACCTCACACTGAAGGTTCAGACGTGTTTCATGACCAGTTTAGAGTTTTTAATAAGAGCAGTGAGGGTGATGCGTAGACAGAGGAGCACTCAGCGCGCATTGGAGCAGTTTGAAAAACACCAGTTAGTTAACAGACAACAGCCTGCCATGAAGTTCATATGCTTCACTGGTTAACATGTAAACCGTAGAGCAGATGATCAATTTCACTTTTTGTTTCTTGTCCGTCCACTTATATGCGCAATGGCACGTTCCCCGACTCTTGTTTTGTTTACTCATCCCCGCGCGCTGACTCACAGGCCCACACAGACGGACCCAATTCAGAGAGAAATACAATGCGTGGAAACTAGTTAAACGGCAAACTGTTAAAACCGCAATTCACAAGTCAGTATTGAACCGTCAATATTTTATTGAGAATTGTTGCATGCCTAGTTGATACAGTCTTTATGCTGATGGTCCTGATGGTTTTGTAGGTCATAAAAAAACATCACTAGTTATTTTAGTTTAAAACTCCTCACAGGTGCTTAAACTATTTTGATGAACAGATTGTGTAATCTAAAATTTATTTAAAAAAAAATTACATTTCTCTGATTTGAGCTCCTCAAATTTAAATATCCTGAGTCATCTAAGACAGAACTGAACTTCTTTACGTTTTAGGCCAAATAATACATTTGAGCTTTTTGAAACAGAGATCAACATGTTTCAGCATGATGTGACCAAAATTGAGAAGTAAAATAAAAACATGATGCAGACAGTGCAGTCGTATCTTCAACTTTCCCATCTCTACGTGATAGCAGGTGATGTGGATCAGGAAACATAAAGAACATTGAAATTAAAATCCTGTCTCCATTTCTTCCAGGTGGATTTACCTCTGATCACACAGAGCAGCCAGAACTTGATCAACAAAAAGCCAATCAGAGCTATGAGAAAGGTATGTACGATTTAAAAAAGAGCTTTGTGATACTATTGAGGTGAGCAAGGACCTGCAGCGTTAAATCTATACTACTAGCATGGCCAACCTCAACTTATTGAACATTACATCCAACCTCACCAAGTTTAATTATTGTTTTAATGACTAATTACTGAATGTTTGGAATAATATTGAATATCAACATTAAACCTATGTATTCTTTTTTTGGTTAGGTGGAAGTACCTTCAATTACACAGAGCCAACAAACATTACACAGAACGCCAATCAGAGCTCTGTTGAAGGTAAAGTACTTTAGCCTCATCTCAAGGTTAAACAATTTAAAAAGCCCATGAGAAAGACACAAGAAGAAAAAGTAATCTGAGGGGATTACAAAAAATAAAAAAAGCTTTAAAGGGAAATACAGCTGAATGCAGAAAAGTTACAAATATGATCAGGAGCAAGGGCCAGTGTTGAAGAAACACATGTTTGAAAATTAATATATTGAATACAAAGATCAGACCTGTGTACTCTTTTTTTTTTGTTAGATGGAATAACCTTCAATAACACAGAGACAACAAACTTTACACAGAACACCAATCAGAGCTCTGTTGAAGGTAAGTACAGTCCAACAGTGCACAGCAATGATATTTCTGAATATTTGTTAGCATAGCATAAATTATAAACCCACAAGAACTAAGTGGAAATTAATTTAAGGTTTTTCTCAAATCAAAATGTAATGGCTCTAACATTGTTATATATGCACATTCTTGATGTTGTCCTTTTAGATGGGGCCTCTGCATGTAACAAAACTTATCGGGACTTATTAGACCACCTGAACTTGACTTCAAACAATAGTCTAAACACCATGGCTCGGCCCACTAAGAACCCCTCAGAACCTACAGAAATACATCTGGATATAGTCCTCTATGCCATTCTAGATGTGGTAAGTAGTTGATCATTTAAGGGTACATTTGTTTTATTGGATCCTTAAATTCTTTCTGTTTGTTATGAAACAGGTCTTCAACAAATCATTGTGCTTGAAAAAGTTAGCCCACCACAGGGCCATTCAGGATGAACCACAAAATTGGCAGGCTATTTTCTAAATCAGCACTATATGGCTTTCCTGATGTGTTAGGAGGTTAAAGTCAGCAGGTAATTCATATATCAGTCAGATTGAGTATTCAGTTTACCAAAGGATGCTGCATGTTTTCATTTGTCTATTCTTTATTTAAATATCTCAGAGAAATAATGTTAATCTAGGCCTAAAGCGAACATAACATGCGGCCTATTTGAAAAGCTCTGAATGATTTGGCTAAGTGTTCTTATATTTTTTTACAGAAAACTTTACAGAAAAGTTCTTTTGAACTATTGACAATAATATTTACTCTCTCCTGCTACGCACTGCAGACTTGAATAAACATGTGTACTTATCTGTATCTAACCCTTATGAGCTTCTTCAAATGAACTTTTCTAACTTGTAGTGACTTAAACACACAATTTAGAAGATTTTCAAACATATTCATTCTTTTACAGAGAGAAAAGGAACAGACATTTATGTCTTGTGTTTGGGTTGAAATGGTGAGTTCTGTTCAAGGAAGAAAAGTTTGATCAAATTAATTTCCACTTTTACTCATTTGGGGAGTTCAATTTTGATTGTTTAAATTTTTTTTTTTCTTTCCCTCTGAAGATTTGGACTGATGATTACATGCGTTGGGATCCAGAAGAGTTCTGTGATATAGAGAGCATTACTATTCCCTCTAAACAGCTGTGGCTGCCAGATCTAACTATTGAAGAGAGGTAAGTCCACGCACGCACGCACGCACGCACGTTTTAAATTCCATTAATAATTAATCGAAGTTAATGTTAGTGTGTAAGTTAATGGGTAATATGAAAAAACAATACATTGTAGCTTCTTGCAATGACAATTAAAGGTGCACCGATAGATCAGCTGATGTTGTGCTGATCGGACAAACACAAGCCGTTACATGACCAGTGCACAGCAACACAAACACTAACGGACGGCCACACACATAACAAGCTAACATGTCAGCAGTGCAGACATGAGGTGTCCATCAGCAGAGGAGAAAAAGTTTCCACATACAGGAGGAGAAACACAGAACATTTTCTATGGGAATCAAACAGTCTCATTGTTTCATTCTTTATTCACTAACTGTAGGGCTCACTGACAACAGTAAAGTTGTCCTGTAGCGTGCTTAAGCATGAATCAGTGTGATTGCATGTACGGAGCGATCACACTGGACAAACGAGATGGATTTAAGGGCTGAAGCGTGCATAGGCTCAGTACAGATTGCCAGTGTGAGTGCGCCCATAGACATGAATAAATTAAGGAGGAGGTTAGCTTGACATTACTTACATTTTGAGTTCTCTGATCCCAACAGTCTTCTCCGGCTCAGCAGCTAGCAGCTGACCTTCTCATCTCGCTCACTAAGGAGGTTTAGTTTAATAGTTGGCATCCATAAATGTTGCATTACCCCTACTGGAAAGTGATTCTTTCCTGTGAGTTGTGGATTTTGTGGCACACACGTGCGATACAACAGTCTCAGAAGGATCCGTGTCTTGTAAGACACAATGCACTTAATAAATGCAGTGATTTGTAAACCTGTAAATCTGTATCTGTGCCTCTAATTTAAAACTTGTATATTAGAATCAGAATCAGCTTTATTGGCCAGGTATGCTTACACACACAAGGAATTTAACTCTCTTGCTCTCTTATGTACAAGTATAACATTAAATATCAACAATAAACACAAAATAAACACGAAGAAGCAAAAACTACTATGTACAAGACTAAATAAGAAACAGTGCAGTGGTGAGTAGTGCAAAAGATGCTGAAGTAAACATGATAATAAAAAACACAGTTAAGTGACAGTTGGGTTAATTTTGAGGTAGAGTTTTCAGTATTTACATTAAAAGTGTGCGTAGATTGATCATTTAAATGAAATAATATACAGTATTATATGGAGTTAGATCAGTCTCAATATTCACAAATGCACACAGAAGGATTCACAATTGTATTTCGATCCACACACAAATATATTTCATTCTATATAAATGTAAAACAAATCCACAAATAAATAAATAAGATTCACAAATGTATTTCTGATTCACACACAAATATTTATAGTTTTGTGTATATGTAATATAAATCCAGAAATATATGAACTGTTCAGTCTGCATTTACAAACTGTTTGTCATTTGTGAACCTCACTGCATTTGTGTGTGGGATTTTTGAGACTTCCCTGCCGTGGTTAGATCATAGGGTTAGATTGACAAATGCATTTCTTTCAGCAGGGAAATGTCTGTAGCCAATCAGATGTTTCCTTCCTATTCAGCCAATCACAGGAGCATAGATTCAAGGGTATGATTTAATGTGATCACTTTAGTGTTGCATCTGCGCACACAGCAATTAGCCTAGCTATCAGACAATCTGATTAAGTCATCTTTAATCTGACCAGCACAAATAGTCTCTGTGATTGTCGTACTAACAACAAATAGTTGGAGCACCCTCTGTATTTGCACCGTAGACTGTAAATATTACTGGACGAACCCTGACCCGTCTGTTACATAGGCAGAAAATGAGTCCAATCGAGGGCCGCATCCATATTGGATTTGCAGTCTCAACCTAACTTCGGATCAACCTAGCGACAGCAGTAAGGCGGGACCGGCGGGACTCTATAAAACTCTATAAACAGTAAGTTAACATTTAACTTTTCTACAACACAGTTAAAACAAATTATATTCAACCAAAATATTTAATTAAAGTCTTAAAACTACACTTTTTTAAAATATACAATTATGGTTATTATTTAGCAGTTACTAGACTTTGTCAGTGTTAGCAGAGCAATACATTAACAAAGTTTTATCCATAAACTGTAAATAAATGAGACATCCAGAAGAAATGAATATTACAAAGCATACAGTTCATGTTACTGTTCTGACAAAAAGAGGAATGTCTGTGTCTTATATTTACTGATGTCAACAGCGATGAGGTGAACATGACAACTGAAAAATAATTATTTAGTATTTATTGTAAGACATTTGTTTTCTATAGAACCCCGTGAAGTCATGGAGTCTGTGGACAGTGTCAGCTTCACACCAAAAACTTTAAGTATTAGAAAAAATAGTGTTTAAGACTGGCATCTATTATTATGAGTTGCAGCTACCTTGTTCAATATTATTCCTGCAGATATGGCTAATAACAAAAAAACACCCTGAGCTGTCACATGTAGTTAACTGTACATTTTGTCTTGTCTGAGGCATTAATTGAACACCTTTGTATTTCTCCTATAGACAGTGTGGATTATTGGTGACTGGTCCGTCGAGGTGCCCAGAGAGCTGCAGAGACAGAGGGAGAAACCTGAGCTTCAACAACATCTGCATTTGTTGGTTCTTCTGGGGTGGACTTCAGTTACTTCTCTTCAACAGCTCGCTGTGAGGGAGGTCTCCCCCGGATGGCCTGAGTGATGACACCCACAGACTGAGAGCTGGAGCTGAGACGGGTTTTAAGCCTCTTGACAAACCGTTACACCGTGCCCACCTGTCAAGCTGGTCAGCTACACGCCTTATTGTGAATAACTCTTATTCTTCATCAAATCAAAACTGATGAGTCATCAAAACATCCCCCCCCCGTACAGTGTGTGTCAATGGAGACATGAGCTAATCACACCTATTTGTTTGTTTTGTACCAAGGTGTAAACATGTTCATCTCTGCTGTAAAAACAGACTTTTTTAATGTTGTTTTTCAGATTAAATAAATATTTCTATATAAATGCACTCCTTTATGTCTACTTATGAGTATACATTTCAGATTTGAAATGACAAGACTAAAATGTGCATTAATGCTCAACTCAATAGCTAAGGGAAGGAAGTCTACTTTTACACAACTTTTTATTCTTTTGCTAAATACTAATGTAGTTCATTTCTGAAAGTGGGATGGAACAGAGTCATTGCAAAATGATGACCTTAAACACAGCCCCATTCTTAAATCAAGATACATGGAGAGTAAATTAGATCAATAACTTGTGAATAAAAACACAGTTAAAAATGATTTAGAAATGTAGTCTTCCCTGATCTATATCACATAATATCAACTTCTCCCATCTAAACTGGACAAAGGGTTTTAAAATGGGAAGAAAATTGTTTGGAGGAGATCTATTTTAATTTGAACAGCATGAATACAGTCTTCCAAGGTGCAAACCCTCCTCCTTCTGAAGCCTGTGGAGCTCCTTCATGTGCTGCTGTCTTATCTGCTGGCCATCTTCTCTCAGCAGAACTTCAACTGTTGAAAAGTCATTCAGAAGAAGCTTGAGCATGTGACATGGATCCAGGAGAACATGGACTTTTAGTGAGAGGTCTTCAGGATGGCAAAGAAAGAGAGAAAATATCAGTTATTCATTAAATCATTTTTTTTTGTTCTCATCTATTTTTCTGTATTCATCTGTGTGTAAGAGCACATTTATAAATTCAACAGTGTACTACCCAGACAACAAAGGTACAGTATTCAGGTAATCAACATCTATTCAAAGTTAAGAAGATAAACATTATTGTAATCATGCTGTTTTCAGCTCTCTCACTCACTCGCACAATGATATTCCACATCAAATGGTCTCAGATTTTGTGAGGAAAAATTAAGCAGTTTATTGTGGATAGTACTTCATCTTAACATGAAACAAATATAACCTGAATTATTTAAATCATTAACAGGTCCCAACTCTCTGTGCTTCAGTACAGAACATACAGTAACTCATTTATTATTAACATGAGCTCAGTACATGGCTGTATTCTTCAAACTATTTCTTATACTTTATATCTATGTGCTTTATATCTTATTTTCATTCCATATGTTATTTATATTTTATATTTCTACAGCTATATTCTGTGTATGAGTTCAGTGAAAATTAATATGGTTATTAATATAGTTCTTAATGGTTACAGATGCTCTTACAAAGTGCATTTTTTTAAATTTGTTAACAGTTCGCTCAAATCTTAAGACACTACATCAACCATGTAACGTTAATGTCATCCTCTATAACCTACACAGCACATTAGGTTCAGTTCAGTTTATGTTACTGACGGATAATTACTACACAAAGTTTGTTTTTTAATGTCGACATTTACGTGGAGTATAACATTCATCATAATGTCAGATAACCACCAAGATGAACCTTTAGCTTCTAACATCACACAAACTCACTATTTTCAACAACAACATCTGAACAACAAACATTTCTAAACCTTTGTAAATAATGTAAATAATGGACTACACTGAGTACAGTTAGTCGACTGGTTTACAAGCTAATGCTAAACAAGCTAGGTCCATAAATATAAATACAGACACTGAGTAAGCAGTAAATATAACACTACTATATCACTTACCGAAGAAAACTGAAGTATCAACTTGTTGGATGGTCTGTTAACTGCACAGCAAGCCATGTATGTTGTCAGATATGTGTTAAACAAACTCTCCAAACAAAGTAAGAAAGAGGAGAAATCAGACGGATCAAGCTGTTAGCCTCCTGACCTCCTGACCTGACAGACAGATGCAGTGCGCAGAGCTGTCAATCAAATCTGCCACAACCCTTATATGGGCATAGTCGTTTTCCTTAATAGAATAAAATCTGATGAGTTATAAAAAAATTCACCCCCCCACAGTGTGAGGAGAAGGGGCCGTCAACTTCTCAGATATATCTCGTTTTTTGAACCAGGCTGTAAACATGTTGATTCCTGTGGTAAAAACAGGATTTTTTGGCTGTGGGCTTATGGCACTTCCGGCGCTTCTGCAGCCAGCCTCAAGCGGAACCTCGAGGAACTGCAGTTTTTTGTACTTCCGCAAAGGGCTTCATTTTTCGAGACCGGAGGTTGCCCCTTGATTTGCACGCTCCGTCATCTCACCTGCTGTTATCAGGGTCGGGCAGAGCGACGTGCAGTGTGAGTGGTCGAGCGACTGAGAGAGAGGGAGTGATGAATGTGAGCGGAGCAGAGCAGGGATTTGACAATCTGACAGTTTGCTTATATTAACATCATATAAAGGGCTACATTGAACACTTTCAGGGTAAAAGGCAGCGCCCTCCAGATCTGTGCGTTCACCTCCGTCTTCAGGCAGAACGGGCTCTCGGTTTTGTTTTCAACGTCTCGAGCCACAAAACTTGAAACAGTCGTATAGTTTAATGTCGAAGTAATCCGTTGCTTAAAAGTTTGCTTTACTGCAGAAATCACCCCTTTTTCTCTTTCTTGGAAAAAAAAAAAGAAAAAAAGAAACTCCGAAGCCGAACGCTTTTTTTTCACCAAGTGATTCTTGGCAGTTGTCATCATATATATTTACATATATGTATTTCTTTAAGATTAAAATTAACACATTTTATTTCAATAAGCCTACATAAGAGCTAATGGCAGTAAAGAGGACAACAACACATTCACAATACCTACCACTGAAATAAGACAAAAGAAAAAACAAAACATCAGAATCAGGTATTAAATATTCAACAGGTCCCAGGGTAATGGACGGTTGTTTTTCAGGTCTGTAGTTTTCCACCTCCTGAGGTAACAAATGATGTTTTTATAAACAGTCACTACAAATCATGTTCTGATTAATAACTACTTTCGCTCTGGTTTTCCAGATCGTTTATGAGACACATCACAAGCCAGAAAAGTCTCCTTTTGTTGTCTGTGAAGGACTCAGAGAAGACTCCATACATCACAGATTTGTAATTGTTGACAACATTAAAACCTACATCGGCCATTTTTTATCTGTCTTGATTCGTGCGGTAGCAGTGGATCAAAAGATGTCCTAACGTTTCATCCTCAATAAATTATGGGACACTTTTTAGTTTTGACGCAACAACTCCACTGAACTACAGCTCTCACAGGAAGTCTGTTAACAGAGACTAACCATGCAGTGTCACGGAGGCTCAGAGTAATTTATCCTGTATATTTTTATTTATTTGATCAGATTCAACAGGATTTACATATTTATATTCAATTAGTCCTCCAGTCCTCCTTTTCCTCTTTCCAAGGCGGATCATCTTCACAAAATCCATTGTGCGTGTTCTAGAAATGTCTCTAAACATTACTTTTCATTTTTTTCAAATTTCTCACAGCACACATAATATAAAAGCATTAAGCATGATTTACTTTGTGTGATGAAATATGTTGGTGACCCTTTTTTTTTTAATGATATCCATGTTAAAAAAATCCCTTAAATTATGCAAAAACACAGTTTCCAAACTAAGTGTCATAGTTGTGGCTATAAGAGACCCCTACTGTTCAAACTGAGTACTGCTACTAAAAACTGAATTGGAAAGAAATTGTGTTGTTTTTGGTAGGTAAAAGAAATCCTCAGAATTGAGTGAAAGCCAAAACTGTAACTGTGTAAACAACATGATATGGAGTGTATGTAATGATGTTTATTTCACCCTATAACTTGTAATAGTGATTTTATTGATAATTATACCTATCAAGAAAACCTTGAAGTTATATGGAAGCAAATTGTAATACCTAAAGCACATTTTACCAAACTAAGAGTTGTAGTATAATCAAGAGGACATGGTTTATGTGTGTTGTGAGTTTGATGGCACTACAACATGTTATAGTACAGTTATTACATATTTCATTACCAAATTTAATGATACAAAATCACTGAAATTACATGTAAGCCCTTTATCCAAAGCAACGTGATGTAGTTTATAGAGCAGGAGGACATTTATACATAATGGGTTTTTGTCTTACCCTACACCTTACAAAAGGGATTTTATTGAACATTGGGCTATTTACAGGCTATTAAAAAATCCTCAATTTTTTTTTTAAGTATTATTTTCCAATCTGAGAAATGTAGTATGAAAAACATGAGATCACGTATGTGTAAAATGATTTTCATGACACTACACCTCTCCTGGCTGAAGTTATTGAATATTTCTGGATCATATGTTTTCGGTATTACAATTTGCAGACGGTCCCTGCGCATTCGAGCACCAGCCGGCTCTGCTTAGAGGCCAATGCAAGTTCCCCAGCGCGGAGGACGGCTCGTTTTGAGGAAAATACGAATGTAGCTCGCAGTCTATCTTGTTGTGATTGCAGAGAGGTGTCGGTTTTGTAAGAGCAATGTTCCGCTGATGAGTTATTGATCAGCGGAAAGCCGAATCTGTGAATATATTTCTAAGTGTATCCCTTACGCCAAAACAGATGACAAGACTTTAACATTTAACATGTCTTTCTGAGACAATATAACGGTGACGGTGCACAAGCAAAGCAGTTATGTCCCTGTAATTAAGTAATTAAGGTTAAAATATAGCTCAAATAAGTCCTGTACTGTAAGAACACAGAAGGCTAAGACTGGCTGGTTTCCGTTGTGCACCTGATATCTGGTGCACACGAGAAGGTTTCTGGTGCCCACGAGAAACCTCTCTCGTGCACACGCAAAACTTTCACGTGAGCACCAGTTAGCTTCTGGTGCGCACAAGAAACATATATTTTTATTTTTTCTGCCTATGTCCCTTTAGGGGCTCCGTACCATTCAGATAAGATAAACCTTTATTTATCCCACAACAGAGAAATTTACAGAGACTGCAGCAAAGGGAGCAAAAAAGAGAACACAGTGCACAATAAAATACAAAATAAAGATAAAAATATTCGAGGAGCAAAAAACAGAGCTACAGTTGTAGTGTGAACATTCAGTTTCCTTTATTATTTATATTCAATTACTTACAAATTTAAATCATATCGTTATTTGAAAGCAACTTGCATTAAATAACTGAGCAAGAGGAAGCATGGACTAACTTCAATACTTTTGTGAGTCAGAAACTGGGCATTAACAAGCTTGTCCAAGCTGTGTCCAGCATTTTGAAGTGTCTTAAAAAAGGAAGGAAAATACAATTTCATTGTCAGCACTACTGTAAACCCAAAAGGTTATCTTCTTCAGTCTGACACTCAGGGCGTGGTCACACTGGCAATCTGTACCGTGCCGAAGCACGCTTCACCCCTAAAGTCCAGTTCGTTTGACCAGTGTGATCGTTCTGTACTGTGCTCAAGCAAGATACACTTCCTTGGCTTTGGCAGGTGTGCTTCAGCACGGTACAGTTCACGAGCACGTGGGTACACAACAATGACAGCCTTTATTATGGAGAAATCTGATATGGCTGTAATGTTGCAGCTACAACATTGGCAGTATAGAATGAAATACATGATGTAAAATGAAGTTGAAAACCTGAATGTGTGTGTGTTCTCATTCAGGACAGAGAAGGATAAGGCCACTCAGAGTCCTTATCTCAGGGTTGGTTTTTATGGGGACGTCACTTATAGGAATGACATGGTGCTGCTTACCACCTGCAAGATGGATGTCTACAAATTCCCCTTCGACATTCAAAGCTGCAACCTCACCTTCAAGTCTGTCATATACAACGGTAACAGAGTACAAAGTTTTAATTATAATGATTCATTTTTGACTGAGCTGAAATGTATGTGTAGAAAGCAAAGGGGCAAATGTTTGGGGTTGATGTAAAAAGAAAGGCATGTGAAAGTAAATACAGAGAAACATATGTTTCCAGGTTTTACCAGCTGATTTCTAGGGACGCAACAATTCTCAATATAATATTGAACTGAACGGAACGGCATCCACAGTTCATACGTGTCAACCAATTGTGGTTTTTCGAGTTTGTGAGGCTGCTGATTGTTACCCACGCAGACACCAGCTGTTACGTGCATGATGCAGACGGGGTCAGAGCTAACGGGGAAAATAAGAAGCACCAATTGACACAAAGTTACCGAATTCAAATTACTTTCTATTCAAATACAGAAATGTCTTCCGATTTGTACAGCGGGCCTACATGGCACTACTTAAACGCTGACTTCTTTTCACTGAGACTATACAACATACACCAGGAATGTGTATAAATGGAAAAGTAAGTTTCCTTAAAAGTAAAACAAAGAAATAGATTTGGAATACAAATAATTAGCTTTTTTCCTAACCCCTTGCTGTTCCTGTAAAAAATGCTGAAAACTCCAGAATAACGAAAAAAAAAACACTCCAACAGCCTTCAGAAACTGAACAGAAAACTGAAGTACATATTGAACACACTGACTGAATTGTTGCATCCCTAATGCTTTCATAACTCTCTTGTCAGCTCAAACATACAACATTGATAATATGTTGATCACGCAAACCTGGCAACATTTCTTTTCTTCTCCCCCAACTCAGTCAAGGAAATTAAGCTTGAAAAGTGGGGGGGCTCTGAGTGGATAACAGGATGGTCTGAACAAATTATGAGAACACAGTCGGACTGGGAGTTCATCGACATTACTGTCGCCAACAACTATGTCGACAACTTTTTCATCAATCAAAGCATGATGGTTTACACTGTGAGTATTTCATTTACAGATAACAAAACTTGCAGGGAAACATTTTTCATTTTCAGCTCTGTGTCTCAAGTTATTTACTGAAGTATTTCTATTTTGAGTCTTTATAATTTCTCTAACATTTTAGTGCAAATGTAAATCTGTGCAGCAATATTAGCAAATTTAATTTTTTGTTATCTTGCATGAGGCCTTAATTTCATGTAAATTAAGTGTGTACATGTAGTTCTAGTTTCTTTCACCATGTATATTTCCCAAAATAATTCAGCTTCAGAGTCGATGCTCCTTTTAGATTTGAATCCAATCATTTATGTCAGTAAAACAATTCTTCCAGTACGTCGCTCCTGAAGTTGATGCATTTCACACCCCTAGTCGCCTAGTGTCAATATGCTGATTGCCAAAAGGCCTTGAAAATAGGGCTGCTCGAATATTGCAAAAATCCAAATTAGGATTATTTTGATTGATATTGAGACCATGATTATTAAACATGATTACTCACTGATTTTACAACATCTGCATCACATACATTCATTGAACTTACTAACACTCTTAACAATTACATTGTGAACACTAAAAAACGAGCAATAAAGAAAGTAAATGAGTAAACAAAATAAGATACACAGCTCTTACTTTTACTCATGAACTACAACAAGGTTACTCTGGGAACATGGTTGTTGTTCTTGGTTTGAATCTAGGAATGTGACATCAAAACGTAATCTATAGGAGACAGAGATGTAAATAGCTAGTTACTTTGATCCAGACATTGTTAAATACTATTTATGTAACCTGAATCTAAATTTAACTTCACAGATCACCATGAAGAGACGTTCCATCCTTTACATTGTCAACTTCATCCTGCCTGTCCTGTTGTTCTTGTGTCTGGATTTGGCCTCCTTCATGATCTCAGAGCATGGGGGGGTGAAGCTCAGCTTCAAGGTCACTGTGCTGCTTACTGTCACAGTGATGCAGCTCATTCTGAATGAAATTATCCAACCCTCTTCAAACAGGATTCCACTTATAGGTAAAAAATAAAGTACTTTCCTTTTAAAAGTACTCTTAATGAACAGTCCATTTATTTTCCTTCCTTATCTCTTCAGCAATGTACTGTGTTGGGATCTTTGGTTTGATGATGCTGAGTCTCCTAGAGACCATTTTTGTGATGTACCTCATGGAGAAAGACTCTGCACCCCAGAATGATTGGACAGATAAAGAACAAAGCCTGAGTGAGGACTGTAAGGACACACGAGGGAAAAATAAATTCCATACATTTTTCAAAGGTGAGATTTGCTGAGACAAATGGGAGAAAAAAACTAAACATCTGGATTTTACTACAGATGTTTAGCCTTTATTTTAAATATCCAACAGGTAAATGTCTAATGAGTGATGTGTTATTTATAGTATAAACTCAGTTTGACTCTTTTTAGACTTAAAGAAACGGACAAACTTGACGTCTGCCTGTGCTGGATCTTCTGGGGAAAGGCCTTCTGAAATGCTTCCAGTATCTAAAGAGGTCAGAATTACATTTCACTTGTTTTAATTCAACATTCAAAAGTCTTTGTATAAATTATTGATTAAGACTGCTGGACCCTGATGTTTAAAATGTTGATGTAGAATTTTCAGTAAATCAACAGATTTTGTTTAAATACATCACAAACACAATTTAATTCACCATTTTACAACCGTTGCTTGGTCTCAGTTTTTTTTCATAAATCAAGATGTGCATTTAGTAAGTAAGTAAATGGAAAAATTCATTTTGTCACAAAAGCTTGATAATAACATTTTCAGTAGTACATTTTATTTAATAGGGCTGCAGTGTTTCCCACACAAAGACTATACCTTGGGCCGCTCACGTGTATATTTATAGCCCCCCCAAGTATATTACCGACCTGTTCTATTTATTTATTATTTACTCATAAAATTGCCGCACACACAAAAGATCAAGGCTGTCCAGAGGGAGATAAACCTGAAAAAGGCTGGTATGCTGCCCTCAATACATGTATCAAATATATCTTGGCAGTAAGCACCTTCCGTTCATCAAAGCTCTGGAGACAGTCGTCAGTTTGTCTACAGGTTTACTGACTACAAAAAGGGTGAAACTGAGAACAGACAAAGGGCATAATCAGACATTATGCTTACCGTTATTATCTTGTACTGTACCATGAACATACTGTCATCATAAATTAAATTACTTTTTTAAGCCATTTTTAACTTGCTTATTTTTACACATGAATTATATTCAAACTATCGTTACTAGAGTTACCCAAAATACAACATGTCATAGCAGTAGTATTTTGTTACTATGACCTCCTTGTGATTACAAACGTAGCATACATTATGCATTAAATCAACTAAAGCTAGCTTATAAGCTCTTCTGCTCCATGAAATCAACTGAAAATAGCTTGATAGCAATGTGCGTCCAACTACAGATAAAAACGTTCTAAAATGACAAATAATGAATTGCAATCGAACATAATAATATAAAACAACATTATATACCGACGATGCTATGTATGGCATAAGGTGTATGCAGATGTCTGCAGATGAAAACGGGCAGTTGGAAGATGGCTGTCCTCTTCGCAATGTGACTCCTTCACTTCCTGTTGCTAACTTCCTGTCTTTTCATAAAGGGACCACTACTTGTAAATAAAATTAATCTACCTAGGAAAATATTAAAAACTGAACTAATGGTTACAGAACAGCTGGCTTTCATGACCTTTCAGCCAGATGAAGCCAGTCAGCAGTCACAGGTAGGTGGGCAGGGTCTCAAAGAAACCAGCAAGCAAGCCTGAACAGAGCACCAGAGGAAGCCAAAGCTTTGAAACAGAAACAGAACACAATACCAGCTGAACACACAGCTGGTAGTATAGTCACAGAATCTAAACACTGTTCATGTGTGTTTTCAGACTAGCAGCAGCCAGTTGACTGAGGAGTCCAATGCCTCTGAAACGGAGATGTTGCAAGAGTTGTCTCCGCCCCTGAGCAGCAGGAAGGAAGAAGGAAAGGCAGGCCGCTGGACAAGAAGGGCCAAAACAGTCAACAAAGTTTTTTTTATTTTTTACATCATTACTGCCAGTCTGTTTTTAGCATTTATGTTTCACAGTTGGAATGAACAAGCAGAGGAGGTCAATCCAACAAAGACACCTTCTTCTGATGAGTTTGAGTTTGAATCACCATGAAGGCTTCCTACAATTATAAAAACAAGATAATCAAGATAAAAAGATTCCTGTGCAGCATGCACGTTTTGTCCATAGGTTTTGTCCTGTGTGGTAAATGGAGCGCATTCTCAGTTACTTCACAGCAATGTGTGCTCTGCCCCTCTCCCCAAAAACAGCTCTCACTTTTATTAAGGGGCACACTCACACTAGGCCCAGTTGTCCCGTACCGTGCTTAAGCATGATTGCCCCCCCCCCCCCTCCCCATTCATCTGCTGGCCTGCACTCACACTGCTCCAGGACTAACCGAGCCTGAGCACAGGTACCTCTTGTAGCCTACATAACGTTTTAATACAATACATGCATGGCTTTACGTAATTATGAAGCATGCTTAGTTTACAAGACAAGCAGACTCCAAAATAAAAAAATAAAAAGGGACACAAAGTCAAAGGTCAAGCTTAAGAGCACAGTCCTGTTGTACGTGGATTTGAGCAAAACACATATTTAAAAACAATCAAGTATGCATGTTAGTAATAATGCATGTTCTTGAATATAGGTGAATATATCTTGGAATATGGGAATCATTAATACCCCACCCAACATAAAATATAGGGATGCATCGATTCTAAAAACCATGATGTTTAAAATAACAGTTTAACTGAATGCTGATACCGATGTTTTTTTCAGTGCGTCTTTTGGTGTAAGACTCTTAAATAGTAAATGGACTTGAGCTTATATAGCGCTTTTCTAGTCTTCCGACTACTCAAAGCGCTTTTACACTGTATGTCACACCTACCCATTCACACACTGATGGTAGTGGTCGCTATGTAGTATCATCCATCAGAAGTAACTAATCCCATTCATACATAACCAGCAGGAGCAATGCGGAGTTAAGTTTCTTGCCCACGGACACATCGGACATCGGACATTCCCCCATCTGGGGATCGAACCCTCGACCTTCCGGTTGAGAAGTATGATCAGAGTTTGTCCAACAGGTGACTTCCTCTGCCCAATGAAAAACCTCTTCTCTGAATCAGCATTTAGGTGCACTAGATGACAGCTTTAAATTGATACAACACAACTCATAAACATTGGCTATGACAACACATCATGTCACATTATTTGCCAAAGTACCGATGTCTGTCAATAAAGGGCTGATATGGGTCTGATAAACTGATGCATCGGCTGTATCCCTTATAAAATATGAAACATATTCATGCATGCAAAATCAAATTTATGAAAATTACTAAAGATTAAGCATCCACTAAGTATTCAAGTCAATATTTATCATAAATTCTGTCAAATCTTTGTTTTATATATAAATATAACCTAAGCTATAATACCTAACTCACAATACTATCCCTTGAGCCAGGGCACCAACACAGTAAAAAAAAAAAAGAAAGTCTGCAGTAGAGGTTGAAGGATCCTGTCTTGGACATCGAGCACGATCTAAACCGACTCTAAACTTTAAGTGTCAGGAGATAACTATGAGGTTAAGTGTTGGGGGTTACTTACTGTAAGAAGTAAAAAAGGTTGGTTAACTAACTGAACACTTGTAAGCTAACTTGTTAAATTGATCCAGTGCTATGTTAACAATCTTGAAACACTTCTATGATATTCTGTTTGAATGGGCTTTATTGCATGTGTTCATTAATATAATGTTCTCCTACAGTGCTGTTCTCTCTCATATTTATCTGCACTTTAGATTATGTATTCATGATAATCAATCTGTATCTGAACTTGCTGTAGTGGTTCTGTGAACATGTATCACATTTGTAACTGAAAAAATAAACAATAAAGACTTTTCCCTCCGTCATTGCCATGTATCTGTGTCTTGAGAAAGAACCAAAAGAGTAAAACTGCAAATTTCAGGTCTCAATATGAGCAACTGCTGCTACATTAAATAACCAAAATTTCAAAAAGGATTAAAGAAATGCTTTTTAATAGACTGACTATAGTTAAGGTTTCACAACACACACAGAAACTTTCACTATTTGCAAGATTCTTGTTAATGATAATGAAAAGAGGTGAACAAATGGACTCAATCTGTGGCCAGAGAGGTATGAGTTATGCTTCACTATCATTGCTTTAATCATGAGAAAATGTTACAATCCGTTTTTGTTTAGACAGTCTGCTCAACCATTTTTTTGTTTTTTCCTTTTTATTTGCTTTAAGCACGCCATGTTTGCATCGCTGTTCAGTGTTTGCAGAAAATAATACAGCCGTGGCACCACAACATTTATCTGTGAGTCTGTACTAGCCTTGTTAGAACCCAGACTACTTCAAGTGGATTTATTTTTCACACATTGCTCTGCAGGAAAATTTGGACATTGAGACATGAGTGGCAAGTTTCCGTTAAAGTGACCAGTTATGAGATGAAGTGACAGAGTTGAAAAAGGTGACAAAAGTAAGCAATAAATATCAAAATAAGCATCTAGAAGTATGTTACGGCCCTGGCCGTATTGTGTTTATTTTATGTATGGTGTTTGTGTGTGAGAGTGAGACCTCTATGTATGTATGTGTGTGAGGATCTTTGATGCTGCTGCAGGTGGAGTTCTGTGATTGGTTGGAGGAGCAGATCAGCTGGAGGGAGGGCACCTGAATCATTGGTCTGGAGTCTGGTCTCAAACCTCTAATCGGCTGGGATCCCCATGAAGAGCGGCGAATGTTTTAAAACTGACAGCAGCAGCATTTGATTTTCCCTTGGCCTCCAAACTTGTTTCCCTACAGCTTGTTGTTGGAACCTCGTCTTTAGTTAGTTTTGAAATGAATGTTGTTTACTCCTGAGTAATTCAGTTGTTTGAGAAGCAGTAAAACTGCCATTTTCTTTAGTGCTCACTATTTTCTCCTGTTTTTGGTTAAGTTAGGAAGTTAGATTTAGTAATTGTCTTTTGTTTCTATTTGTTTGTTTTAGGTAAGATAGTGGTATAAAAAGAGAATTGAATTTGGTTGTTATTTGGGTTTTTGTTCATCTTGAGCCAGTGTGCTTCAGCTATGAGAGTGAATGTGTGTTGTTTAAAATAAATCATTTTTTAAGTTCCAAATATTAGTCTTGCCTTTGGTTTGGGGACTGAGGAAGAAACACTTCTTTTTTGTGGATTTTATGTTGCACATCTTCCCCCCTAGACGGGTGCTGACAAAGTAATCTCCCATTTAGAAATCAATTGACTGCGAAGTGCACAAAGTCAAAGCATTTCATAACATTTTATTTAGAGATTGTTTAAGGGTGCACCTTCAACAATCCTGAGAGTCATTTAGCTTTCTGAATATGTAAAAGTGCATTATTCTCTTCGTTTTCATTAATATAAAGTTTACACATGTCTATCATAATGTCAGTCTGGTGAAAAATTATATCTGTATTTTGCTCTGTGGAGATGTATAGGTCTTGCAATTAAAAAAATAAACTAAACAAAAATCTATTTTTTTCATATGCATGTGTGTGAATGGTGAGAGCTGACCTGGAATTGAGGGAAATATTTTCTGAGCTTATATTTAGGACCTTAAAGGGAACAGTAAGGCTATCATTTCCTCTGGTGGCCTGGAAAGTGAAAGGGAAAAAAAAAGTACTCATGGGTAATCAAGCAGTTGGCCTTCTGACAATTGTGACATTTTCAAGTTCTGTTGTATTTTTTGGCTTCTAGGTACAGTAATGGAGCTCAGCGTGAGTTCAAGCAGGAATACGTTAATCAATGTTTTACTCAAGGCCAAAACAGGGTCAACATCTTCTGAAAAACATGAAGTCAAGTTGACCATTTTTTCATCAGAGGTAATATTACAAACAGTTCTTACATTAATATGAACTAAACTGCTGATGATGTCTTCAGAACAAACAGGAGATATTACAAATCAATAAAACAAACGACATAGCTTTTGAAATAAAAGACATCAGCGTTATTTTTTTGTCTCTCTCTCTATTTCACTTTAACTGTAGTCTACCTTTGTGATTACAGGTAAAAGTGAAAAAAGAAAACTCTATTTTAGTGAAGCCAGTTGTTTGGCATCTTTTCTTGGCTGCATGAAAAGATGTTCAGCTGTGGAATCTCTCAGGATAAAGTTAGAGAGGTGTGAGGTGTTGCTCTCCATCATCACAGAGGTAAGGTGCAGACACAGGTATGTGCTTCTTAACATTCAAAGCATTAGAGCAGCTTGTAGGCAGAGTTGGGGCATTGTTTCAGGGATGAAGAGTGGGAGCTGTGCAGCCACAGTTTCCCTCATTGAACCATACATTAGAGTTCCATCAGCTCGATTTGGATGTTTGAAGAGGCTCTTTCCACGTTAACTGCTAACAGATTAAGGAGCAGTGAAAAAATGAAGTTTCTGAGTTAAACGTTGAAAAATCGCTGTGTCAACTCAGAACCAAATGTTTTACTGCACAGTGTGTGTTTGGGAACACAGCAGTGGAGACCTGGTGGTCTAACAGTCTGTCTCTGAAGCTGCAGGTTTCTTTCAATGACACAGTCCGACGTGTTGCACAAAAACAGCAGAGAGGAGGGGTAGCTGAAGCTTACAAGTACTACCGGCAGTAGCTGTGAATTCTGGGATTTGTATTCTAAGTGGTGTGTGTGCCATATACCGGGGGGGGGGGTATTATATTTATTACGCATCTGTTTTGATTTCATGAACAATACGAGTTATGAAATAAATATGATATCTAGTGGGTTCAGACATGGCCTTCAGTTGACCTATGCTGTAAAGCATATCCTCCGATGTGGTTAAGGTGATCAGTATTTTAAATATTACAGATCCAAATTGATAAATCCCAAGAAACATACATGTTGATGCCCATAAAGAAAGAGGGTTATCGGTTAAATTAGCAGAAAAGTTGCATGAAAAGAGATTGGTGAATTGATGATCACAAAATCTGAACTTTCTGGAGGGACTGAAATGTATCTCTGGTTCCAGTTGCTGTGTCAGTTGTTAACAAAGTAGTTAAAGTTGAATTTTCATAACTTTCAGAAACCTTTTATGTGTAATACTGTAGGACACACACATTTAATTGATCAATATTAACATCCTTGTCTGATTCTGGTAGAAAATGAGTTCAAGAAATCAACATTGAATTTGGTCGGCGTGTCTTTTCTTCCTGTGCAAATTTTGTCATGTGTAAAGGGGTTCCAATCATTTAGTGTTGGTCCTTACTGTATGTGTTTATATCTCTACCTTTCTTACTTGAACCTTGTCTAGGTTTTGAACATTTTATTTTGACTGTATTGAATTTCTAAACCGGTATTGGACTGCTGTCCTCTGATTTCAGCCTTTAATGAAATAGTAAAAACTGGCTGTCAAAAAAATTAACCAATTTGCTTAATGGTTCAGAAGATAGTTTGATGCATTTGCAACAAAAGCTTCCAGAATCAGCGGCGCCTTTCACTTCAAAACCATATCCCAGGGTGTGATTGTGAGGTGAACTAAAAGGGGAAATAAATGAGGGCATGGTTAAGGCCCTTACATAAAGACAATTAAACAGCTGCAATAGAAGAAGTGAGATGGAAAGTTGTTTTTCTTGTTAGAAAAATGGATTTACCCACAAGCCACTAATTGTTAAGGGGGATGGAAGTTCCAGGAATCTACCTCTTTTGTGTTTTTATCATTAGACTAATGAGATTTCTTCCAGTAGAAGACAGTGATAAAAGTACGGACACCACAGAGGACAGGAACATGCTTTTTGACCGGACAGAACTTTTGCAGTCATGATGCTCGCAGGTTTCCTTCTAATAATCCTCCTTCAAGGTAAGATCACAACTTGTATTTATTTGTATGCCTGCAGGGGTACAGGTCTACTGTTTTAGTTACTGTTTTGATCTTTGAAGGCAATCCTACACAGTGTTTTTAATGGACTTTGAAGCTCCTTCAGTGAGTGATTAGTGTTGCCTCAATGTTCCACTGAACGACTCAGGAGGTCCTTTGTTCCTGCAGCAGTTTGATATTTTAATGAACATTTTTAGTTGTGTTTCTGACTCATGGCAGTATATGATTATTTAAAGGATTTCAGAGGTGTTTGTTATTTATTTACTTGTTGTGTACTATTGTTTGTTGTGTGTATGAACTGACCAGGTGGAAATGAGTTTCCCTGCTGGGGATCAATAAAGTTTTCTAATCTAATCTGTTTGGCTAATTTAGTTACTTCCCGAGTAACTCTTATATTTTCAATTTTAGAGAATTCAAAGTTTTGTTGGTACATCATGAAAAATAAATGAAAATGTTTACTCTTAAACAAATGTTAAGTGTGGTTTATGTGTATTCATTTAGGATAACTTTAACTAGAAAGAAATGCAGCTGTTGAGTTTTGTCATTAACATTGTATAGAGGGAAACATTCAGGGATACATCATTTTACTTAAATCCCATCTTCCTATAGGCTGCTTTTGTGTAATATATATAATTTAACATGTCTAATTCTTTAAAATGAATCTTGATGTGCTGCTTTCTTGACCAGAACTCTGAGGAATAAGAGATTGTGTGTCTCAAGGAACGACCAAGGATTCATAATATAGAAATAGAAATGAAATGATATATACAATTAATTGGTCAGGGTGTGATAGGGTGTCTGTTCGCACACAGTTTAAATCACTAAACTTTAAAGCTCATATGAGGAAGTTTGGGTTTGTGTCAGTTTTGTTGATGCCAAGCGGTATTTAATCTCTTTGCTGATCTTGTCCAGTTCATGTGTGCGTTAGTGTTTTCTGACAAAGAATCTCTAACTTACTTTTAAAAATCAGAAGTATGTATTGGCTTTGGAAAATGTAAAGAAGAGGCTGTATCTGTAGCTGACTGTAAGTCATCTCCTGTGACACCCCATGGTGGTTGATACAGTCTTTATGCTGATGGTCCTGATGGTTTTGTAGGTCATAAAGAAGCATCACTAGTTATTTTAGTCTGTTTCATAACCAGTTCAAAACTCCTCACAGATGCTTAAACTATTTTGATGAACAGATTGTGTAATCTAAAATTTATAAAAATTTACATTTCTCTGATTTGAGCTCCTCAAATTTAAATATCCTGAGTCGTCTAAGACAGAACTGAACTTCTTTACGTTTTTGGCCAAATAATACATTTGAGTTTTTTGAAACAGAGATCAACATGTTTCAGCATGATGTGACCAAAATTCAGAAGTAAAATATAAGCATGTCGCAGTGCAGTCGTATCTTCAACTTTCCCATCTCTACGTGATAGCAGGTGATGTGGATCAGGAAACATAAAGAACATTGAAATTAAAATCCTGTCTCCATTTCTTCCAGGTGGATTTACCTCTGATCACACAGAGCAGCCAGAACTTGATCAACAAAAAGCCAATCAGAGCTATGAGAAAGGTATGTACGATTTAAAAAAGAGCTTTGTGATACTATTGAGGTGAGCAAGGACCTGCAGTGTTAAATCTATATTACTAGCATGGCCAACCTCAACTTATTGAACATTACATCCAAGCTCACCAAGTTTAATTATTGTTTTAATGACTAATTACTGAATGTTTGGAATAATATTGAATATCAAGATTAAACCTATGTACTCTTTTATTTTGTTAGGTGGAAGTACCTTCAATTACACAGAGCCAACAAACATTACACAGAACGCCAATCAGAGCTCTGTTGAAGGTAAAGTACTTTAGCCTCATCTCAAGGTTAAACAACTTAAAAAGCCCATGAGAAAGACACAAGAAGAAAAAGTAATCTGAGGGGATTACAAAAATAAAAAAAGCTTTAAAGGGAAATACAGCTGAATGCAGAAAAGTTACAAATATGATCAGGAGCAAGGGCCAGTGTTAAAGAAACACATGTTTGAAAATTAATATATTGAATACAAAGATCAGACCTGTGTACTCTTTTTTTTTTTTGTTAGATGGAATAACCTTCAATAACACAGAGACAACAAACTTTACACAGAACACCAATCAGAGCTCTGTTGAAGGTATGTACAGTCCAACAGTGCACAGCAATGATATTTCTGAATATTTGTTAGCAAAGCATAAATTATAAACCCACAAGAACTAAGTGGAAATTAATTTAAGGTTTTTCTCAAATCAAAATGTAATGGCTCTAACATTGTCATATATGCACATTCTTGATGTTGTCCTTTTAGATGGGGCCTCTGCATGTAAGAAAAACTATACGCATATAGTAGAGCACCTGAAGTTGTCAAAAAAAGATCTAAACACCATGACTCGGCCCACTAAGAACACCTCAGAACCCACAATAATATATCTGGATATAGCCCTCTATGCCATTCTAGATGTGGTAAGTAGTTGATCATTTAAGGGTACATTTATTTTATTGGATCCTTAAATTCTTTCTGTTTGTTATGAAACAGGTCTTCAACAATATCATTGTGCTTGAAAAAGTTAGCCCACCTGCCTGGCTATTTTCTACATCAGCACTATATGGCTTTCCTGATGTGTTAATAGATCAGAGTCAGCAGGTGATTCAGATGTCAGTCAGATTGATCAATCAGTTTACCAAAGGATGCTGCATGTTTTCATTTGTCTATTCTTTATTTAAATATCTCAGAGTTATAAATGTTAATCTAGGCCTAAAGCGAACATAACATGCAGCCTATTTGAAAAGCTCTGAATGATTTGGCTAAGTGTCTAAGTGACAGAAAAGTTCTTTTGAACTATTGACAATAATATTTACTCTCTCCTGCTACGCACTGCAGACTTGAATAAACATGTGTACTTATCTGTATCTAACCCTTATGAGCTTCTTCAAATGAACTTTTCCAACTTGTAGTGACTTAAACACACAATGTAGAAGATTTTCAAACATATTCATTCTTTTACAGAGAGAAAAGGAACAGACATTTAAGTCTTATGTTTGGGTTGAAATGGTGAGTTCTGTTCAAGGAAGAAAAGTTTGATCAAATTAATTTCCACTTTTACTCATTTGGGGAATTAAATTTTGATTGTTTACATTTTTTTTTTCTTTCCCTCTGAAGATTTGGAATAATGAAAACATGCGTTGGGATAGAAGGAACTTCTGTGATATAACTGAAATTACTCTTCCTTCTAAACAGCTGTGGCTGCCAGATCTAACTATTGAAGAGAGGTAAGTCCACACACACACACATATATATATATATATATATATATATATACAGTATATATAACTGTATATATAACTGCATACTTTCACACTCACATATCCACATACAATCAGAAGAGTAACTCCTGATAGAGTCACTGTTAATGTTACTGGTAAGAAATGTCGGCTTGCCTTTGAAAACTCAAAACACACAAATAAAAACGTCAATAAGAAAACAATCAAATACAGAAAAGTGCTTCAAATAAAGACAACACAAGCAAAGAGCCTGTATATTCAAAGCATACAAGCTGATGTCCCACAGCTTAATGTCATCTCCATATGAAAACGTAAGGGTGCCTCCTGTCAACAGGCTAGAGGTGGGTGATAAAATCTGATATCTATATCACTGTATTTTATTTTTGAGTTAATGCTGTTACATCGTAGTATTACAAAATTAAAAGGATTCACATATGAGCTCATGTTCATGCATTATCATCTTCTTCTTCTACCCCCTGGTGGCTGAATTTACATACTGTCGATTAAATTCCATTAATAATTAATCAAAGTTAATGTTAGTGTGTAAGTTAATGGGTAATATGAAAAAACAATACATTGTAGCTTCTTGCAATGACAATTAAAGGTGCACCGATACTTTTCGAAAATTCTTCTAAGTGCCGCGACACTTAGAAATATTTTCAGCTTTTCGAAAATTCTTCTAAGTGCCGCGACACTTAGAAATATTTTCCACTTTTTCTCATTTTCACAAATTCTTCTAAGTGTCACGGCACTTAGAAATATTTTCAGCTTTTCTTCATTTTCACAAATTCTTCTAAGTGTCGCTGCCTGCCACACATCTGTAACCGCTCTGGGTGCACCAGCAAGGGGGCCCTTTGTCGATAGATCAGCTGATGTTGTGCTGATCGGACAAACACAAGCCGTTACATGACCAGTGCACAGCAACACAAACACTAACAGACGGCCACACACATAACAAGCTAACATGTCAGCAGTGCAGACATGAGGTGTCCATCAGCAGAGGAGAAAAAGTTTCCACATACAGGAGGAGAAACACAGAACATTTTCTATGGGAATCAAACAGTCTCATTGTTTCACTCTTTATTCACTAACTGTAGGGCTCACTCACAACAGTAAAGTTGTCCCATAGCGTGCATAAGCATGATTGCCTTGTCCGTAATTTGTAAAGTAAAAATTCCACCTCAAATTACCTACCATATTTCACCAAACACAGACGTTATGTGATAATATTAGTCCCGTGCGAATCGGCATCTCTGTGATTTGGGGTATCTTTATGTTTTATTAAGGTTTTTGTGTTCTCCGCGCCTTTTTTCTACCTTTTTTCTGCCTTTTTCCAGGTCGAGAATTATGGAGGCTGCGTTGGCAATTATAAATAAAAGTTTTGACAGCATTTTGTGTGCAAATTCAGGAGGCTTATCTAGCTACACAGCATGGAGACCCATTCACAGAAAGAGCGAGCTCAAATCCATCAGAAGAGAGAAATCTCCAAAGATGATTAGATGGATTACATGCATGGAACATTTTTCTACCTTTTATGCATAGGTTACGCAGAGCCTTGTGTTATACGAGTAGTGTATGTCTGTCTGTGAACGGCTCAGTGCAAGTGAGGAGAGAGAGAACGAGGGGAGTGTGGCTGTATCCGAATTGCCAAGTATCTACTCAATCTGTCTCTATCCGTGCTGTATACTGTTTAGTACCGACTATTCAGTAGGCGTGCACAGTAGGCAGATATTTGTTCCTACTTTGTCTGATTTATTCAGTAAGGAAGTGGCGTCATTTACGTTATCTGAACCGGCTGCATTCACCCATTTTTTTTTGTTTAGCTTTATTCAAGAAGAGCAATGCGCATATACAGTCAGGTAAACAAAAAACAATATCACAAGTAAAAGACAGATTAAATAACTAAATAACATCCAGTACATAAAGGAAAGTACAAATGAAAGACAGTAATATACAGAATATAAAGTAAAATAAACCAATAAAGACGCATTTAAATAGTGAAATCATTATTTAAATAGAGGGGGAAAGGTTTTATAATAATGCCAATAAGACATTTGTTACATTTTTTGTTGATAACTAAAAGTAGCAATTTCAGTCAGGACTTAAAATTCAGATTAAATTAATCAATGCTCTTTTCTTTTGATTTGGAGGCGCACGTGAAGTGACGATTTACGTTGAATTTCGCACAGCACTGTGGGTGGTAATATACAATTCATTTCCTGAAAGCACGCATCCGATCCATACTGCATGAAAGCCGGAAGTTAGTATCCATACTGAAATGTTCAGTATACTGAGGTGGACCCAAAAAATGCACACTGAATGACCACGAAAGTTCAGTATACTGAAATTGAAAAGTACGTACTGCCTACTGAACTGTGGCTATTCGGAAAGGGCCTGTGTGTTCGGCAGGTGTGTGCGAGAGGTTTATACTGATGCTGGGGACCGGAGCAGAATCAGCGCAGAGAAACTAGTCAGCATCTGAAGTGTATGCACAGTTTGATCTCTGTGTGCGTAATAAACGGGCCGAAACCTTAAGTAACAAGCCGGAATCTCCGTGTCTGTTTACAACTTGCTGCACCCCAGTTCAAGTGACGGGGGTTAGCCCCGAAGTTGAGGGCTACAACTTTGTCCCTCGATCAGACCAATCAGTCTCCCCTGTGCGCTCCGACCACGGTCGAAAGGCGAAGCAGGAAAGGTTAACGTTTGACATCATATCCGGGGGATACTGTCAGTAAATTTGAGTTAAAACACAGACTTCACTTATCCCGTGCGAATGCGCCGCACGAAACACAGACGTGGTGGGGTCATTTCTAAATCACATGAGGTCCCCAGGTACAGTGACGGGGGGCTTCTCCTGAAGTCCACTGTCATCACCACAGTCTCTAACACAGTGCACAATACAATACAAAATAAAGATACAAATATTCGAGGAGCAAAAAACAGAGCTACAGTTGTTACAATGTAGTCCAAACATTCAGTTTCCTTTAATTACATTCAATTACTTACAAATTTAAAAATAAACAATCATATCGTTATTTGAAAGCAACTTGCATTAAATAACTGAGCAAGAAGAGGATGCATGGACTAACTTCAATCATTTCCGGAGTGAGAAACTGTCATGATTTGTTCCGTTTAGTTTAGTTTTTCACAGTTTAGATGTTTTTTATCTTTTAGGTCTCATTCTTTTCCTGTGTTACCCTCTATGTTCTAGTGTTTCTTAATTTTTCATTCTACAGTGTCTTCAGTGTTTCATGTATTTATTTTGTAGTTGTCCTCAGTGTTTCTTGTCTTGATTCCTTCCTCTGTGTTTCCCTCCGGTGTTGATTGCCCTCATTGTCTTCACCTGTGTCATTAGTCTCACCTGTGTTTGATTACCCCTGTGTCTATTTAGTCTCTGTGTTTCTTCCCTTCTGTGTCAGTTCATTGTTGTTTTTCGAATGTTAGTTGTCAGTTGGCGTTTTGTTGTAGACTTTTGATCTTTATTTTGAATAAATAATATTTTGTTAGATCTGCATCTGGGTCCTCCTCTTAGTTTTTCTCGAACCTTGACAGAAACTGGGCATTGCCAACACTAACTACTGTAAACCCAAAAGGTTATCTTCTTCAGTCTGACACTCAGGGCGTGGTCACACTGGCAATCTGTACCGTGCCTAAACACGCTTCACCCCTGAAGTCCAGTTCGTTTGACCAGTGTGATCGTTCTGTACTGTGCTCAAGCAAGATACACTTCCTTGGCTTTGGCAGGTGTGCTTAAGCACGGTACAGTTCATGCACAAGCACGTGGGTACACAACAATGACAGCCTTTATTATGGAGAAATCTGATATGGCTGTAATGTTGCAGCTACAACATTGGCAGTATAGAATGAAATACATGATGTAAAATGAAGTTGAAAACCTGAATGTGTGTGTGTTCTCATTCAGGACAGAGAAGGATAAGGCCACTCAGAGTCCTTATCTGAGGGTTAATTCTTATGGGCAAGTCACTTATAGGAATGACATGGTGCTGCTTACCACCTGCAAGATGGATGCCTACAAATTCCCCTTCGACATTCAAAGCTGCAACCTCACCTTCAAGTCTGCCATACACAACGGTAACAGAGTACAAAGTTTTAATTATAATGATTCATTTTTGACTGAGCTGAAATGTATGTGTAGAAAGCAAAGGGGCAAATGTTTGGTTGAGGTTAAAAAAAAATCATGTGAAAGTAAATACAGAGAAACATATGTATATATGTATAGATTTTGCCAAAAGTTCAATGCACTTGGGAATTGTGGTTTTTCGGTTTTGTGAGGCTGCTGATTGTTACCCACGCAGACACCAGCTGTTACGTGCATGATGCAGACGGGGTCAGAGCTAACAGGGAAAATAAGAAGCACCAATTGACACAAACTTACCGTATTCAAATTACTTTCTATTCAAATACAGAAATGTCTTCCGATTTGTACAGCGGGCCTACATGGCACTACTTAAACGCTGACTTCTTTTCACTGAGACTATACAACATACACCAGGAATGTGTATAAATGGAAAAGTAAGTTTCCTTAAAAGTAAAACAAAGAAATAGATTTGGAATACAAATAATTAGCTTTTTTCCTAACCCCTTGCTGTTCCTGTAAAAAATGCTGAAAACTCCAGAATAACAAAAAAAACCTCCAACAGCCTTCAGAAACTGAACAGAAAACTGAAGTACATATTGAACACACTGACTGAATTGTTGCATCCCTAATGCTTTCATAACTCTCTTGTCAGCTCAAACATACAATATTGATAATATGTTGATCACGCAAACCTGGCAACATTTCTTTTCTTCTCCCCCAACTCAGTCAAGGAAATTAAGCTTGAAAAGTGGGGGGCTCTGAGTGGACAACAATGGTCCAAAGAAATTATAAAAACACAGTCGGACTGGGAGTTCATCGACATTACTGTCGACAACAACTATGTCGACAACTTTTTCATCAATCAAAGCACGATGGTTTACACTGTGAGTATTTCATTTACAGATAACAAGACTTGCAGGGAAACATTTTTCATTTTCAGCTCTATGTGTCTCAAGTTATTTACTGAAGTATTTCTATTTTGAGTCTCTTTATAATTTCTCTAACATTTTAGTGCAAATGTAAATCTTTGCAGCAATATTAGCAAATTTAATTTTTTGTTGTCTTGCATGAGGCCTTAATTTCATGTAAATTAAGTGTGTACATGTAGTTCTAGTTTCTTTCACCATGTATATTTCCCAAAATAATTCAGCTTCAGAGTCGATGCTCCTTTTAGATTTGAATCCAATCATTTTATGTCAGTAAAACAATACTTCCAGTACGTCGCTCCTGAAGTTGATGCATTTCACACCCCTAGTCGCCTAGTGTCAGTATGCTGATTGCCAAAAGGCCTTGAAAATAGGGCTGCTCGAATATTGCAAAAATCCAAATTAGGATTATTTTGATTGATATTGAGACCATGATTATTAAACATGATTACTCACTGAGCTCTTACTTTTACTCATGAACTACAACAAGGTTACTCTGGGAACATGGTTGTTGTTCTTGGTTTGAATCTAGGAATGTGACATCAAAACGTAATCTATAGGAGACAGAGATGTAAATAGCTAGTTACTTTGATCCAGACATTGTCAAATACTGTTTATGTAACCTGAATCTAAATTTAACTTCACAGGTCAACATGAAGAGACGTTCTGTCCTTTACATTGTCAACTTCATCCTGCCTGTCCTGTTGTTCTTGTGTCTGGATTTGGCCTCCTTCATGATCTCAGAGAATGGGGGGGAGAAGCTCAGCTTCAAGGTCACTGTGCTGCTTGCTGTCACAGTGATGCAGCTCATTCTGAATGAAATTCTGCCGTCCTCTTCAAACAGGATTCCACTTATAGGTAAAAAAGAAGAAGAAAAGTACCTTTTTAAGGTTCCTCTTAATGAACAGTGCATTTATTTTCCTTCCTTATCTCTTCAGCAATGTACTGTATTGGGATCTTTGGTTTGATGATGCTGAGTCTCCTGGAGACCATTTTTGTGATGTACCTCATCGAGAAAGACTCTGCACCCCAGAATGATTGGACAGATAAAGAACAAAGCCTGAGTGAGGACTGTAAGGACAAACGAGGGAAAAATAAATTCCATACATTTTTCAAAGGTGAGATTTGCTGAGACAAATGGGAGAAAAAAAATAAACATCTGGATTTTACTAATTTACAGATGTTAAGCGTTTTTTGTAATTCAACAGGTAAATGTTTAATGAGTGATGTGTTATTTATAGTATAAACTCAGTTTGACTCTTTTTAGACTTCAAGAAACGGACAAACTTGACGTCTGCCTGTGCTGGATCTTCTGGGGAAAGGCCTTCTGAAATGCTTCCAGTATCTAAAGAGGTCAGAATTACATTTCACTTGTTTTAATTCAACATTCAAAAGTCTCTGTATAAATTATTGACTAAGAAGACTACTGGACCCTGATGTTTAAAATGTTGATGTAGAATTTTAAGTAAATCAATAGATTTTGCTTATGCATCACAAACAGATTTAATTAACCCCAGTGTTTCCCCTACCATTATATTAGAGGGGCGGCCCCAACGCAATCAATATACATAGTAATCATTATGATATGTACCATGATGAAAGGTTGTGCATGTTGGCTGTCCAGAGGGAGAGAGAGATAAAGCTGAAAAAGGCTGGCTTTTATGCCCTTTCAGCCAGATGAAGCCAGTCAGCAGTCACAGGTAGGTGGGCAGGGTCTCAATGAAACCAGCAAGCAAGCCTGAACAGAGCACCAGAGGAAGCCAAAGCTTTGAAACAGAAACAGAACACAATACCAGCTGAACACACAGCTGGTAGTATAGTCACAGAATCTAAACACTGTTCATGTGTGTTTTCAGACTAGCAGCAGCCAGTTGACTGAGGAGTCCAATGCCTCTGAAACGGAGATGTTGCAAGAGTTGTCTCCGCCCCTAAGCAGCAGGAAGGAAGAAGGAAAGGCAGGCCGCTGGACGAGAAGGGCCAAAACAGTCAACAAAGTTTTTTTTATTTTTTACATCATTACTGCCAGTCTGTTTTTAGCATTTATGTTTCACAGTTGGAATAAACAAGAAGAGGAGGTCAATCCAACATAGGAACCTTTCTGGTGAGTAGTGTTGGGCGGTTGTTTGAGTTTGAATCACCATGAAGGCTTCCTACAATTATAAAAACAAGATAATCAAGATAAAAAGATTCCTGTGCAGCATGCACGTTTTGTCCATAGGTTTTGTCCTGTGTGGTAAATGGAGCGCATTCTCAGTTCCTTCACAGCAATGTGTGCTCTGCCCCTCTCCCCAAAAACAGCTCTCACTTTTATTAAGGGGCACACTCACACTAGGCCCAGTTGTCCCGTACCGTGCTTAAGCATGATTGCCCCCCCCCCCCTCCCCATTCATCTGCTGGCCTGCACTCACACTGCTCCAGGACTAACCGAGCCTGAGCGCAGGTACCTCTTGTAGCCTACATAACGTTTTAATACAATACATGCATGGCTTTACGTAATTATGAAGCATGCTTAGTTTACAAGACAAGCAGACTCCAAAATAAAAAAATAAAAAAGGGACACAAAGTCAAAGGTCAAGCTTAAGAGCACAGTCCTGTTGTACGTGGATTCGAGCAAAACACATATTTAAAAACAATCAAGTATGCATGTTAGTAATAATGCATGTTCTTGAATATAGGTGAATATATCTTGGAATATGGGAATCATTAATACCCCACCCAACATAAAATATAGGGATGCATCGATTCTAAAAACCATGATGTTTAAAATAACAGTTTAACCGAATGCTGATACCGATGTTTTTTTCAGTGCGTCTTTTGATGTAAGACTCTTAAATGGTAAATGGACTTGAGCTTATATAATGCTTTTCTAGTCTTCCGACTACTCAAAGCGCTTTTACACTGTATGTCACACCTACCCATTCACACACTGATGGTAGTGGTCGCTATGTAGTATCATCCATCAGAAGTAACTAATCCCATTCATACATAACCAGCGGAAGCAATGCGGGGTTGCCCAAGGACACATCGGACATGTTGCCCAGCTGGGGATCGAACCCTCGACCTTCCGGTTGAGAAGTATGATCAGAGTTTGTCCAACAGGTGACTTCCTCTGCCCAATGAAAAACCTCTTCTCTGAATCAGCAATTAGGTGCACTAGATGACAGCTTTAAATTGATACAACACAACTCATAAACATTGGCTATAGACAACACATCATGTCACATTATTTGCCAAAGTACCGATGTCTGTCAATAAAGGGCTGATATGGGTCTGATAAACTGATGCATCGACTGTATCCCTTATAAAATATGAAACATATTCATGCATGCAAAATCAAATTTATGAAAATTACTAAAGATTAAGCATCCACTAAGTATTCAAGTCAATATTTATCATAAATTCTGTCAAATCTTTGTTTTATATATAAATATAACCTAAGCTATAATACCTAACTCACAATACTATCCCTTGAGCCAGGGCACCAACACAGTAAAAAAAAAAAGAAAGTCTGCAGTAGAGGTTGAAGGATCCTGTCTTGGACATCGAGCACGATCTAAACCGACTCTAAACTTTAAGTGTCAGGAGATAACTATGAGGTTAAGTGTTGGGGGTTACTTACTGTAAGAAGTAAAAAAGGTTGGTTAACTAACTGAACACTTGTAAGCTAACTTGTTAAATTGATCCAGTGCTATGTTTACAATCTTGAAACACTTCTATGATATTCTGTTTGAATGGGCTTTATTGCATGTGTTCATTAATATAATGTTCTCCTACAGTGCTGTTCTCTCTCATATTTATCTGCACTTTAGATTATGTATTCATGATAACCAATCTGTATCTGAACTTGCTGTAGTGGTTCTGTGAACATGTATCACACTTGTAACTGAAAAATATACAATAAAGACTTTTCCCTCTGTCATTGCCATGTATCTGTGTCTTGAGAAAGAACCAAAAATTTCAGGCTCAATATAAGCAACTACGGCTACGTAAGTAGTAAGGTGATCATTGTATCATTATACTAAATAAAGCTGAATGAATTAGATCTGCAAAACTTAAGTGGTTTGGGATTTATTTCTGTTTAAAATGAGCTAAAACATAATTTGAGAACTTGACTTCATTTGGGTAGACTAAGGGTGGTTTCACACAAGGGACCCGGTACGCTTGACCCCAAAGTCTGGTTCATTTGATCAGTTTGAACACAAACGTACCGTACTTGGGTAGCGTGCCCAAGTCTGCTTGCAGAGGTGGTCTCGGGGCTCAATTTATGTGTACTAGAGTACATTCCGCAGCAGATGTTAATGCAGCCGTGATTCAATAAGGAAGTGGAAAGCTATATGACGGCTTCTGTTGCTTCAAAAACAGTCATATCCGCGCTGCCCATTTTACCCTCTGCTGTAGGATGCACAGTAGATGTGGAAGTAGCAAGGGTCAACATTGGCGTCTCAGATATAACAAACACATCCACAGTTAGCCATGGCCCCCCTCTTCTTCTTCCTGCTTCTTGGACGTTTTGCAAACCAACCATGTGCATACTGCCACCTGCTGTATCGGACTGTATGCGCAAGTGCACTCGGCCACGGAACGATATTACTATGTGAATATAATAATGTATATTACTACTGTGAATGAAGACCAGCTCGGGCATGGTACAAAACAATCGGGCCTAATGTGAAAACGCCTTAAAAAAAATCTGACGACTTTTTTCAATGTTGTCCCTCTGCTTGTATTAAAAAAAAAAATGCATCTACGAGAGACTTTTGGAACTAGGTAAGGTAGGTAAAGTAGAAACCCACTGAGGGCTTATCTCAAAACCTCACCGTAAGAGATAAAGATGCTACTTTATACATAGTCCATGAACAACACCCAGGTAGTTAAACCCAGAAATACTGCAAAAGAGCTCTAACCACGTGGCCATAACCAAGATCACCATTGACTCAACTCTTTTGGCAAAAAGACAGCGTTGTCGCCAATGTCATGTGTGTTGTGGTTTGTGTGTGTGGTTGGTTGTGTGGACGTTTTCTGCTGCAAACGTCACCTGGGCATGGTTGGTAATTACAGCCACAGGTAGGTAGAAAGGGGAGACACAGGTGAATGGGGATAGGGAATTAGTGGAAGCCACACAGTTTTTCCAACCATAGGTGTGTGAAGATGTTGTCTGGCGCGTTTAGACTTTATCCATGTTTATGAGCTAGTTTCGTATGATGCAGAATAGGCCTACACACCCGTCTTTTTGTTGGTGTTTTTAAGATTGTTGATAAATAAATACTGCAAACATAATTAACGGCAGACATTCCCTTTTTTACCCACCATAATTTGGAAATGACTTAAAGTTCCCTCCAGTGGCACTTTTTGTTGTTAGATTGCCACCACAGACAGAGTCTTTTGAAGTAATTGTTTAACTTAGTACTGAAAGTCTTACAGATAAAGTTAATTTTTTCCGAATACTGTTTTTTTTTTTTTTTTTCTTTATTGCATTGCTATTGAACAAACATTGCATACCAAAAGTAGAGGAAAAACAAGCACTGACAATCATGACTGCAATCACAGTCACCAAAAAATGAATCTGAAAAAAACGACCGACAAGAGCTGAATTACTGGTTACCATGGAAACATCGCTAACAGCTGCCTGTCACCCCTAGACTTAAATTAAGCAGTTAAACCGAGCCCAAAACACAGGAAATGACAGAAGTAGCTTAGTTCCAGCTCATTAGATTACTTACTGTAATAATGAAGCTCCTTCAGTTCCTTTTAGAAGTCCTCCTCGTCGTCCACGTTATCCTCCGTGTGCGGCGTCCGTCCTGAAGTCTCCACCATGTCGCCGATTAGCATCCTGGTGGCTACAGTTAGCGGTCCGCGCACACGCACCGTATATCATCCACTTTCTTTCGTCTCTTGTGATAATTAAATCGACGGAGTCTGTTATTCGATCATTGGGAAGACTTAATATTCTCTCCGACAAAAAAAATCGATTCGTTCAATTGTTTTAAACTCTGAAACTGAAACTGTGAGAGTTCAGTATGTCGGGGAAAGTCACTGCACTCAATTAGACTCAATTACAACCGACCAATCAAATCACTCAAACTGTAACGGTCATGATCTATTACGTCATTGGAGACGTTTTCGGCACAATCGGAAAAAATGGTTTCATAATTGAATCTACCGGGGGAAAAAAAAGGCTTCTTAAAAAATATAAAATTTACAAGTAAGATAGATAAAGACAAGATAAGATATACTTTATTCATCCCAGCAGGGAAATAGAGGTGTTCCAGCAGCCAGCATACATACAAACACACAACACAACACATATATACATACATATCCCACCCATACAAAAAAAAAACATGAGCCCACAATACAGTTTGATATATGATATATGCAACTCAGGCTGAAGTTTAAAAGTTTAAATGTCTTCTGTCCTTACTTAAAGGGGAGTCGTTATAAAGTGCAATTGCAGTAGGTAAAAAAAGTAATTTTTAGCCTCCCACTAAAAACATTATTTTGTTCACACAAGATTGTGTAAGGGATGCATGTTATTGTCCATAATGTTCAACAGTTTCTGTATCATCCTTCTCCCCAACACCACCTCCAGGGGCTCCAACAGCAGTCCCCCAGCACAGAGCCAGCCCTCCTAATCAGCTTGTTAAGCTTTTTAGAGTCACAAGCCCCTGACGCTGCTGCCCCAACAGACGGCTGCAAAGAAAATGGCACTTGCCACAACAGCCTGATGAAACATGGATAACATTTTGCGACACACATTAAAAGACCTAAGCTTCCTCAAGAAGTAGAGTCTGCTCTGACCCTTCTTGTAGACAGCCTGTGTGTGTGTGTGTGTGTGCTTCCAGTCCAGTTTATTGTTCATGTGCACCCCCAAGTATTTGGGTCAAATGTGTTAGACCACCTGTCATAAAAACGAGAAAACATACATATTTTAGAAATCTTTCAAAACTTGTTGAAAACTAAAAAAAATGTTGTTATTTATTTGGAAAATAACAATCTAAATAGTCCTTTTTCACACATAATAACAAAAAAAAACTGTATATTATGGTCTCCTTTGGACTTGATAACAGCTTGCATTCTTGCTGGCATTGTGTTGATTTCCAAATAGTTTCTAGCTGTTCCCCCAGACTTATGTTTATCAATATAAGCCAGAGTGGTGTCTCATTATTAAGTATAAAAAGTAGTTCAAATATCAAATATTTAGGTATTTCGATTATAAATGTAAAATGAGCTAGTGACTGTCTCGGCCAGGAAAAGAGATTTCTTTCATGGTTAAATACACGTAGGTAAAATTAAAATTTACTGGAGAGGGCTCAGCCTTTTTTGAGAATGCATGGTTTGGGGTTTGCTACTACACAAAAAAATGTGTTGTAGTAATTCATATTTGAAATGTGTTCTAAGATTCCTCCGACGCTGCAGGTGGCGCTGTTTGCTCCACCGTCACGTCGCTGTCGCTCAATCAGTGACGTGGATTTTCATTGAGCAGTCAGAGCTTCCAAAATAACTGATTTACTAACGTGTCCGGGCTCTTCCACCAACTTTCTGCATATTTAGAAGTCGGACTACTTGAGTTTCTTTTCTTCGCACGTCACCTTTGAACACAATTGTGCCACAGCCTTAATAACAGGTGAGCAGATGATGAAAAACGTTGACATTAGAGGTGTTTTTTTTATGTCTGTGCATGACTAAAGTCTCCTCTGTTTAACTGTTAAAACTTCTTCTAAATTAAATCCTTTCAGTGTTTTATTTTGCAGACGAGCTATTCAGAGTTTTCACGCAGACTCCAGGATGAGTAAAAACAGCAAAGTTTTGAACCTGAAGGATAAAATCAGTGGTAATGAAATGGACCTGAGTCTGTGTAACCTCACTGAGGTGCCAGTTAGAGAGCTGGTGAGTCACTTCATCCTCACATCTCTCACAGTTTACATTTAGGACTTTGTATTAATTCACTGGCACTTCAAATATCACGCTGAAATGTTAAGATTGCAAATGTTATTTCAGTTTTTTTTACTAGAGCTGCCTAATAAAGTGACCCATGTTATTTTCTGTCTGTCCCTAAAGGCTTTTTTCACTAAAGCCACAGTGTTGGACCTGTCCTGCAACAACATTACCTCCCTCCCTGTGAGTACAAAAACAATCACAAATCTGGAGTAAACACAACATGTTCCCCCTGAACTCTCTGGGTAATTGAAAGTGTCCAGAAAAAAAAAAAAAAAAAAGCTAAAGAAAAGGTTTGGAAGATTTTTATTTCTTTATCACAAACCTTTAGGCTTTAGGTTGATAGATAATGGTGTAAAATCACTAAATATCTAAGTTAAAGAAAGTAAGAATCTGAAAGAAGAAGTTTGTATCTTATATTTGAGAAAGACAAAGAGTAAATAGGTTTGACAGTTAAAGTAACTACTTCCTCTTGCTCCATTGGAAAGCACTGTAAACCATCTTAATGTAGCTGCAAGCTGAAAAATAAGAGAAAGACGATATTTTATTTTCAAGGGTCTTCCTGGCAAATTAAAACATTCTGTTATTTGAATCTAAACACCTAACAAAAGTGAATCCAAGGGTTTCATTTCCATTCGTCCCTTTTCGATCTTTTCCTTGTATGTTTTTTATTCCTCCTCGTCAATCTTATGTATGGGGTTTGTAAATGTTAAAAATGGAATAGTCTCTTAAATGATGATACTGATATTATGTATTTACTCTCCAAATTTCCTTCCTTTTATTTTAGACTTTAACCTTCCGCCACAGATTTTCAAACATTTTTGCCGTTGTTAACAAACAAAAATACTCAGCACTACATTTTTGTTTCACTTGCTCTGTTTCTTAAATATAGCCCGAGTTCTGCAACCTGACCCACCTGGTGAAGGTGGATCTGAGTAAAAACCAGCTGACCTGTTTGCCAGATGACCTGGGGAACCTGACCAACCTTCAGCATCTGGATCTGTACAACAACAAGCTGACAGTCCTGCCTGTCAGCTTCTCTCAGCTCAGGGTGGGTACCACACACAAGCTCTGTTTGCTCACTTGATATTTACATTTACAGATTCTGGTCACATCATGTGTGTTGTTTAGAGGGTTACTTTCTGAAGCTCCTTTTGGGTAATTACACTTCGGTTAAGAATACAGCTGTTCTAAAAGTCAATGTGATACAGCTGTTTGGTGGTGAGTGAGGAGGTTATCTTATCTTTGATGTCTCGCACTTATTTATGTATTTTTAAATTGAAAGTCAGTTTACTTTACCTGTCTGTTTAAAAAAGGGATAGAGTCAAGAAGGCAGTGTGTTGGGGCATAGGATGGCCGAACAGAATGAAATTTGTTTAAATTTATATTAATAAATTGGCAACAATTAATCTGAGGGTAGCACATACTGTAGCTAGCCTGAGCTTCATCTGACTGCATGAAAATGTTTTAAAAGCAGGACCATTATACGCAGACCTCCATTCAACAGGTAACATGAAACGCTGACTGAGAAAGCCTTGCTTACTTGCTTGCAAACGTTTCTTAATTAGTGCGATAACTTCAGACTTTTGTAATGTAATTTTCTGTTTTTTGTTTTTTTCCCTGTTTTCTGTAGTTTACCTTTGTTGTTGTTATCTTTATGATTTGTGTGTAACGTTGCGATGTCCGTTAGTCTGTCCTTACTGTGCTGTTCTTTATGTTTTTAACTATTGTAAAGTGTCTTTGAGTTTTTAAAAACGCTTATAAATAAAATGTAGTATTATTATTATTATTATGTGTTTATTGCACAGCCCTACTTTACAGTTCTGCATGCATGAGGGTGGTATCGATCTTGATATGAAACTCTGTAAGGTAGTGAAAAGTACACTTCCCAAAATGTTGAACTATCTATTAATTGGTTAATACTTTGCATTAACTTAAAGTAGTAGAAGTCGTTTAAAATAGTTCAGTACAGATTTTATTTTTCACCCCGACTATCCAGATTCTTTTTCCGACCAGCCGCCTGTAGTAACATTTCTGGAAGATGTCAGGGTGAGCCGTTGTGTTAACACAGCAGGATTCAGGATAATCCACATTTAGATGGTGTGATGATGATTATATCCGACAAATGTCTTGGGATTGGTGCAACTTTGTGCACATATTAAATCTGCATTATTAAGTTTTCTTCCCGCCAGTATGTTCTTCTCTGCACCGTCATTTATACTTGGGAAACTTCCAATCACACACTGCATTGATTAAAAAAAGGCAAAAACTGTCAACAAAGCAGGTTTTTTATGTCATGCCTTACCTTCTAAGACCCCCTGCCTCCTGTCTGACATGGAATACTTTCTGCCGAGAGGGACATGTGTGAACAGGCAACATTTGGATGATTTCAAGCACAGGCTGTCTGAAATTCTCTTAAGACATTTTCCGGAGTACATGTGTGAAAGCGGCGTTGGATGATGAGCGATGTGACTCCTCTGGCTCTGTTTTTTTGTCTGACAGTATTTACTCAACTCGTTTACTGCGCGTGTTTGTTTCTCAGGGTCTGAAGTGGTTGGATCTGAAGGATAACCCGCTGGAGCCCGACTTGGCCAAAGCAGCCGGAGACTGCCTGGATGAGAAACAGTGCAAGCAGTGTTCCTCAAAGGTGAGAGGAAAAATAGCAAAACAAAAAAAAGAGTTAGATCAGAGGTGGGGGTCTACAGAATCTATCACTGAAGGATTTTTTTTACTTCCAGGTTCTGCAGCACATGAGAGGTCTCCAGGAAGAGGTTGATCGCGCACGAGAGAAACGCCTTTTAAGGGAAAAAGGTAGCACTTCCTTAAAGAGCTTCAAATCATTCAAAAAGACACTTGAATTACGTTTATGAACTGCATTTTGTTCAGTAGGGCTATATCAAGCCTCTTCGATACCTTTTTGGTTGAGGACTGACCCAAAATGTTTGTGTTGCACAAAGAAAAGAAGACAATCACCGTACTTTAACCTAGCATTGAATGTTCTAGATAAGCTAGTTTACCTTCTATCTTTAAAGTCTTACGGCACTTTTATCTGCTGAGGATTAGAAGAAGAAATGGATTTTAATTTCTGCAGAAAAGAAGAAACAAGCTTTGTGAAACAGTGTAACGTCAATGACCTTTTATAAACTAATGTTACAGTTATCTGTCTGACTGCATTCAATCGAAACACACTGATTCCTCATTTAGAGCTGGAGAGGAAGAAGGAGGTGAAGCAGAGGGAGCGAGAGGCCAGAGAGAAGGAGGCTCGTAAACGGGAGAAGGCGGAGGAGAAGGAGAAGAGGAGGAAAGAATACAACGCTCAGATGGCGGCCACGGCTGCGCGGGAACAACAGAAGAAGAAGAATGAGGAGAAGAAGAAAAAGAACGGACAGACAGCAGGTGCGAAGTTCTTCACCTTTCTGCACCTCTTGAAGGGATATTTAAAGTTTTTGTTACAACGAGGACCGACGGCCGACAATCTCCTTGGTGTGTCGGGGCCTTTAAAGGTCACATATTAACTTTTGTTTCAACCAGTTTAAATAAGTCTCAGAGCTCCCCAAAACATATCTGTGAAGTTTCTTATTATAAATCCTCTCTGGTCCTGTACTTCATAATGCCTATAAACCCCTCTATTTCAGCCCTGCTCAGAACAGGCTGTTTCTGTGTCTGTAGCTTTAAATACAAATTAGATGTGTCTGGCCATGCCCCCCTCCCTGGATGCTGATGTGGCTTGGGCTTTCTTGCTCCATGCCCGATTGTATACGTTTAGAAGTCAGACTCAGGACAGAACAAACACCTAGCTGTGGG